TCGAAGCTCCACTGAACAAGATTTGACTCGATAAGAAGAGGAAGACATCACATCTTGTAGCTGATGAACGACTGCGGACCAGCGACTCGGATCATCGGTTCTGAAGAAAACGAAGACGTCTTAACCTTAGTTGAATAAGTATTTAGCAATAACCTCGTGTTAACTTAATAATCCAAAAAGGTGCTCAGTTGTGTTTTTAAAGCTAGCTAGTTGGTGCAATTAGTCTACTGAACTCTACTGTTCCTAACTGATAATTTAAAACCGACCCAAATCACCGAGAGTTGTCTTTTTTGGCACGTAATAGACGTCACCGATAACACTCTGATTCTTGGTGAGAAGCGGTAGTAAACAACTCCAATGGTGTAAAAAACCACTTTTACACTCTTTTGGACAGCCCACCCTTTCTCTCACTGCTGCGTTATGAAATAGTTATCATGTAAAAATCACGATCGGATCATGGATAAACCAAATAAACCAACTATCAAAGTGATTTGATAGGTCCAAGCAGTGTCCCTCGTCGTATTTCTTTCAATGTTCTTCGAATCCGGCAAAAAATCGGCAGTATCTCTTCAGACACCCAAAATTGTGTTAGGTACTAAACATTTCAAAAACTCATCGCACGAAAAAGTGATGGTAAAAATGAACACAAGAAAATAGAATATCTACTTCGCTCTTTCTCCATTAGTCTTACTGTTTTGCCAATGTCGCCTATAGAGTTGATAGGGTTCGTGTAGACCTGTGGACTGCTCTTCTCACTAAAATGGTGAATAGTCGTCGAGCGTGATGTTTCCGAAAAACGGAGTTAGCTGTGCTCCTCTCGAATCGTCATTACAAGCAGTTTCGAGTCTTTGTAGATTAAAAAGGGTAACTCACTACCCAGATACTTGAACTCCTTCAAACCACACCGATTCTTACTATGGCAGTACATGCTTCAATCGACTGTTCGAAGACGCTGAAGCAAGCTGGAGCAGTGAAACAGAAAAGTCGAAGTGCTTGAGTAAACTTTGTGAAGTGCATAAAATGATTAATGATGCTTCTTCCCCAACCCTAATGTGCCTGCCATCTACGACTGCTTGGTGCACACATGTCATTTTTTGATATGATTTTAACTAAGGATCCGTGAAGATCTGGTTCAACCACTTTTTTAAGAATATAAGAAAGGAGATTAGAAGAGGAAACGAAACTCGTTTTCTTCTATGATCGGAACAATTTTGTCTTACTTTTATGTTGACATAAGAGAAAGCCGAGTATCTGGTTAAACAGAGCAACTGTTTTCAATTTCTGCGCAGAAGATGGTATACAAAAAGGCTTGCGCTCCTTCGAACAGTGCATCCAGTGACTTCCTCGAATGCTGGTTATTCACAGCATAGTGGGTTTTATTCACCATAATCCAGAATAGAAAAAAGGTTAGACGGGATAGATTTTTTGGAGCAAGAACAGTGAAGCGAAACGAGATCTTAGCGTGAAAAAAAAAACTAAAACAAAGCAGAACGTAAAAAATTAAGGTGAAACATAGAAAACTAACGCAAATTGAAAACTTGTAGGCGAACTTCCTACTAGGAAATTCACCTCCGAAGAGAGACTTTCAGCTGATGAAACTGATAACTGCAGAAAAGCTAATCTATGTGGCTCTTCAGGAGCAGTGATGAAAATGAAATTTCGTGCTCGTAAACTATGAATATGTCGTGTTCCCACTATCATTCTCATGAATGGCTTTTCGTTCATAAGAACCCGCTACTTGCTAAATGTTTCCGTAGTTCTACTTTTTGAGGTGTGTGCAAGTGTGCGAAAGTATGGTCATTTTACTACGTTGCCATCAATAGAGACCATACTTTGCATATTTCATTATTGGTTACAGCTGTAAGTTTCGTAATGTCGGTGAAAAGTGTTCTACGTCTTTGATTTGAACTGAAATCATCCTATTTGAGTAGTTGCTCTCTTGTGAAATAATGTTACCAGCGAACTACGCCGTGGAAAGGTTTTAGGTCTAATCGTTAACCTTTCCCTACAGATTACTTGTTAGTTTCAGCGGATTATTTTGCTCAGCACCTAGAGGAAATCAGACCAGAGTTTCCCTTGCACGATTCTCATTGAATTTTCTTACCTTTGTTTAAAGCACTCTTAGTACATCAGTAACTTTCATATCATTTTTTGCCGTTAAAGCTCCTTATTATTTGAAAAATTAACATAATGTTGAGAAGCAAACAATGGCTATCACATCTTCGTGGTAGCGCAGGTCACCGCCATAGCACTCGTTAGGTAGAAGGTTGTGGAAAGCCGTGGAAAAAACACCTGCCGCGAATTTCATCGTGTCTACCTACACTCCGCACAAATAAAACCAAAGTGCAAAAAACGCGTTCTGGTTTTAGCTGACGAAACACTGACAAATGGCCTCTCTATTGATAACACAAACGATAAATTTGCTGTTTCCAATAAGAACATCCGAAAACTGAATTCTATTCTTTCAAATAGCTCGCATACTCAAACGTTTTCTCAAATACGGACAATACGGCGAATCTGGTGGGGCAAATGCTCCATGGTAACTCCAGTCTTGTTCATCGCAGTGCTCATTAGCAAGTCTCACTTATTCGGAATCACTGGCGACCGTGATTTCACCACCGACAAATTCGAATTCGCGAAAGCCCAACGATCGCGTGCGAATTAATTCACGTGTTGCCGTTGATCTGAAGTTCAACGGTCTCAACAGTCATCGACCTTTTCGTTTCTAATCGATCAGAATTTCATAGCACAATAAATTCTTTCTGGCATTCTGTTGTGATACTCGTTGTCCAAGCAGAATAATTACCCTTGATACTACCACTTCTGGCTACTGTATTGTCACTTATGTCATTTATGACCGCCAGATAACGACGCAAATCGCGGCGCAAGTACCGAGCAGAATGGTGAGTTGCTTCCACTTCCTTTAACGAGGCTATCTTTTTCTTTGTTAATAACAATCGTTGTAAGCTAGGCAAAGCTGATATTTCGTAAAATAGAACAGATTGCGAAATTGCCTGCACTTATCAGTTCTGCGTCATAGAACGTACTTTTTTGAATGAAATGACTAAATATTGTCGCACTCACCCACAAAAGAATAATGTAAGGACTAATTCTCAGAATTCTTTTGAAGCTAAGGTTTTTATTTGTGTTACGTCGAAGCCATTTGTTTACATAGTGAAGATCGCGTTGTCCTCGCCATCGCGAAAAATCCGTAGTTTGTTTTGAGGTTTCTTTTGATATGTAACTTTCGCAAAGTTCACTTAAATATTTTCTAGCCCTTTGCCTATTTTAAGTGATAAAAGAAAAGGCACTGATGTAATTCTACTGTGATTTTTTCCTTCGTATCCCTTCGTCATAGATATTCTTCTACACCAAGACGTGTAAAAATCAGTTAATTCCAAAAAGTTATACTCAGCATGATATTTAATTATATTGCCTCATCGCTGGAAAAGCCAATCTCATGGATCTTTAGAGTCCAAGTTCTTCGCCGCGATCTGTATTTGCTGTGGCGCTATGTCTTCGCAGATTTTCAGGCTAATTTTAGTGATTGAAGAGAAATCGTCATTTAGGCTAGGTTAGCATAGTTTACAAATTCTAATAATGCTAACGCAACACTTATATAGCTTTTGTTTGCTGTTGTTGTTATTGTTATTTCCGTGAGAAAAAAATAGCCCAATCTCATAAACTGTCGAGTGACTCGACCTAGTTCCAATGACTGAGCTAGTGGCCCGCACTCGCTCAATGAGCACAAGAGCTGCCGCCCTTTAATATAAAATTCTTTCCTTGCGGTATTTTTGGCTCGTCCAGAAGTGCTTCTTAGTGCTTTAATGGAAGAAGGAATGCTTCCTGGTTATTACAATGCATGTATTCGGCTCACCGATGAATATGATTGCTAGTACACTGCAGGTTACTTTACTCAAATTAGAGTACCTCATAGTGGCCCATTTAAAAAGCGAGGCAATACTCCAAATTCATCTGCGTTTCCGATATTGTGTAATGTGTGATCGTTTATGGACCAAGTACAGCCTCCTATGTGTAACACCTAGGGTAGCCTCGTGGCAAACCTATTGATGATAATCCCACATCTGGTGGGAAAGCTGGCGGGAAATATACAGAGTCGTTAATAAGCGGTATGATTTAGTTTTAAAAAAAGCATTTAATATGGAATGAATGTAGATGAATGAACGAGTGCATTCTTCAGCAAAGCGCTTTCAATTCTCTCAAAATCTTGAATAGGTTAAAAATAATGTCTCGTTTAGAACTATAGAAAAGAACCTCGATCAGATAGTACACCAGTACACCAGTATTCATGCATCAATCCGTTTTACTTAGTCTTTTTCCTTAAACTGTGAAGAGCGTGAGCTGTTGAACATTGAGCTAACCAATATTAAGGCTGTTTCGAAAAAGGTTCATATTATCCACAACGCGCTTAAAATCAGGTCATGTTGTCTGAATTCAGCTAGGATACTCAAAACCGAACGAGATTTCACGACCATATTGTAGAAAGAACAGAGTACATCGTATGAGTCTCTAGAGAGCAAAAGAACTTTCATAACTCCTGAATAAACTACCGAAAGTAAAGGCCAATTTGTTTGCCGGCAGCGCGAACCAGTGCTGTCCATAAGTAGGATATTCTCTGTAAAATTTGCGACCGCATGTAAACCCGGTCATTTTTGTTTGTCATTAATGAAAAGAATAATGGAAGATGTGCAGAAGCCTGAGCGATTAAAAACTAGAGATGAAAAAAACGCTGGAGAAATCGAGTTAAGCACCAAAATCTAAGAAACACGCGAAAATAGAAAATTTATTAATAATTTTACTCTCACAAAGCTATGGAAACCAGTGACACTCTGTTCCTTTCTTGTACGTTACTATCGCAATTATGCTTTGAATTGCAATGATAGTTCACCTAATTCGTAGGGTGTACTCGTGCGTAGGAACAAACAAGTAAATAAGCAAACAAACAGCTCTTTCTACAGCACACCTGAACATTATATGGTATGTTCAAAATTCTGGATGGTATTCAGTCGGAGCTGCCGAGTCGAGTCGCCATCATAGGCGCCGGATTCGCAGGGCTGTCCGCAGCAGCGATGTTGGAGCGAAATTCAGTTGACTACACAGTATTCGAAGGTGCAAATAGGATTGGAGGGCGGGTTTACGCTATTTCTTATGGTACGTCCTATTGTGTAGCAGATTTTCACAGTAGTTTTCAGAAATCTTTAAGTTTGTTGTTTTTTGTCACTAGAATTTGTAGGGTTTGCGAGTTTACAAAAACCTTAGGTCTTTATGGATTCCATAACCAAACCATGTTCTTAAATGGCATGTGCAGAAACCACCAGCAATTCAATGAGTCAGTTTCTTCAATACTCCTCTTCATAGTTCTACTGCTGAACCGTGCCCGTTTGGATCACGAAAGCCAGCAACGGAGTTGTATAAGTATATCCTACAGAGAAATTGAAGGTTTGCCATCAGCGCCTAATAAATTCTACTAAGTAGCCTAATGAGGCTATAAGGGCATTCCATAGCTTGTTCATTCTTTCCAAAACGACAACCCTTTGATTGATGCGTAACCCAATAGATGGCCGCTTCAGTAGGATTAGGAAGTGAAAAGACGTTCAAATGGCCAATACAAGATTTAGTTACTTGCGTTACTCATTAGTCAACTCAGATAGTTAAATAACATTTCTTGCAATATTTCTTTGATTACCTGCCCGAGGTTAACAAATACTTTCTATTCGGCTTGCGTTTCGATGTCTACTTCATCTGCCGATGACCCGAGTTGATAGTCCACAGTTGTTCACCTTCTCGATGTGACATCTTCGTCTTTTCACATTCTAATGTTTTTGCTCAATTAATTCTTCTTTCTACTTAAATGGATACAAAATAAAAGAATTATAAACAATCTTAGGGAAGAGATGTTATTCAAGCATTGTACACCTAGACAAGGACTTTTTTTAAGCCTAACAGACTCGCTCAACACTTGTTATGAGCTTGTATTTCCTGGCCGCTAACTCTACTGTCCGGATATCGACCCTAATCCGACAAAGCCATAGGATATCGATCTCTTTTGTTTAATCTTTACAAGCTTGATGGCGGATCGAGTGACTATTGAACGAATGACATTGTCATTGTGGTCAAGTTTCAATTAAACCCTTCACAATCACACTTTACGATATTGTACGACACTTACCAATTCTTTAATCTACTGCTTCAACCAAATCAAGTGGATCCAGGTCGTTTTCACCATTTCCAGTATTCACTGATGTATTAAGGTTGATCGGCCAGCGTTCATAGTGAACGATAAATCTCTGCCTTTACCTCCATCTTAATTTCCGTTCTTGTAGGTGTTGGAGCAATTATTTCTCTCTAGTTGTCATCATTATAGCCCACCCGAGGTTGTCAGAATGCCAACAATGCGAATAACTTTTACGGCATGGTAGTCTTAAGTTTTTGAACAGATGCTACGTTGAGCTTTTAACCTACACTTATGAAACTTTTTTCTCCTTTTTTTAATCGGGCAACGACTTTCTGAAAGATGATTTCGTCATCCATTCTATTATTTTCCTCAGTTGGTGCGGCGGCCACGGAACCTACCTCTCGGTGAACTTCTGTCTAATTTTCGAAGACGAATTCATGATGAAGAGTGCGAGATCTTCGTTACTCGCTCGTTACATATCAACACTTTGGATTATATACCAAGGCGGTTCACAACATGTTACTTATGCCGAACAGTTTGATAAATGTTAGGGAGTCGGCGTGGGCTAGGTATCTCCTGGGTTGCAATAGCTTTTATTATGGTCGCAACTCCCACTTGACTATGATTTTATGTGTTAAAATTGTACAGCTTACACGAGATTGTTTTACAACTTTTATTGAGCTACCGTTTCGACGACTTCGCCTTACTCAGAGCGGATGATCCGGGTAAGTAGTCCGCAGTTGTTCGTCTTCTCCTTAGTTTAATAATATTTCAAAAACCGACTTTCCCTTAACCTTGATATGACTGATGAACATGTGTTTAAATTTTTGAACTTTTTGAGCTAATAAAAGTTGCATAACGACCTCTTGTAAGCTCAACAATTGAAACACATGTTGATTAGTCACACCGAAGTTAGAAAACTTGCTTTTTGAACTGCGATCTTTATCTTGTGACTTTCAAAATGGTCACGTGCACTCTAGTGTGTACAATTTCTATTTCACGAGGTCGAAAAACATTAGGTCCTTCCGACAATGGCCGATATTCGCTCACAACGTCACTCATGCGAGTGTGCCTTTCGTTCCGAGAACGCTCTCCGTTGGTCAGTTATGTCTGCCGGTAGAGGTCACATCAATGGGACATTTTCAAGGAAACGATATTCAAACTTCTTTTCATGCTGTTTCTGTGAAGTCTCCTCTGGTCCTATGTTAGACAAAGAACTTGAACATTCGTGAGAAGACTAGGAAAGTTTTCAGCCTTCTACACCTAACATGATATTGTTATCTACCGTCATAATTTTATATGATAAAGTAGCATGTTAATATAGCGCCAACAGGAATTTTTCTCTTATCAGCCTTTTCGACGTATGAAGAACATTACATTAGTTTGATAAGTAGATTTTAAAAGTGTGGTCTAACGGAAGAAATTACAGAGGATGGCTGTCTTCAGCACGGTGCTGAATTCATCAACGGCGAAAACAACGAAATTTTTCGGATAGCAAACGAAAAGGAGCTAAGCGAGCAGTATGTGAGGGACTTCGACCTTTTCTGCAGAAACGTGCTCTATGGATTCAATGGGCAGCACTTGGACAAGTATGCTCTTCAAGAATATTTGGTTGCAAAGCTATTACAGCGAGAAGAATCTTGATAAGTGAAATCATAACGTGCGATGAATCTCCCGGTGCACATCATAGTCCGACACTCAGAAACACCTCCCAGCCACGATGAAGCGATAAACTGTTGAGAGGGCCTATTTATCAATCTCATTAACTGGTTTAAATGTCAACATTCCTGTTAGGTAATAATATTATTACTATTTATTGACACTGTCATTATTACAACGTTGCTGAGATATTTGCAAAACTCTGGACCGCAGGTGTCTATGGTGGTGAACGAACGCACTATTGTCCTTTCCGGGGAGTCTGGGGAGCCCAAATCGGCATAGAACCTAGTTAAGCTGCGGCTGTAGCATCAATCCTGCTGACGCGTGATTGCTGTGGCAAAGATCGATAGAAATAGCTGGGAGACAGGCGAAACAAAGGACCCGCATGGTGTGGTGGTGAACGCGTTACTCCCCGGAAAGGACAATAGCGCGTTCGTTCCCCACCATAGACACATGCGGTCCAGAGTTTTGCAAATATCTCAGCAACGTTGTGGTTGTATTTCGCTTAGTACCCTGCCGTAAAATTATAGTAGGCAGAAAATAAAAAGGTATAAAACTGTCATTATTATTGATATTCCTCCCAACGGTTTACGGCCTCATCGTAGCTAGGAGGTGTTCCTGGGTGTCGGACTGCGATGTAGAGCAGAGGATTCATCCCTTGGCAGGGTCTTCTATGCCGAGAAGTAGTTCGGCGTTTCTATCAGGAAGCCTAGTTAAGAGCAAGCCGATACCGGAAACCACCACTGTCCTGGTATCAAAGTCGCATGGTGGTTCTCACTCTGATCCACAAGGGCTGCGACTGCTTGTGGTGGCGAAGACCTGGGTCAGACTTTGGCCAGGCTGATCTCCGGATTCCAGGAACCACGATGACTTAACCAGCAAATCTCTGAAATGGAGGTTATGCTGAGATCGCACAACCAATGAGGTTAGGCTATTCAAGTTTAAATATCAAGTATCAAGTATTACTGATATTATTATTAGCTATTAATCACCTGCATCATCTGTCGTCCCGTTGAACGTCGAGCGACGCAAGTGAGCTTCGGCAAATCCTCTTCTCTCCTTTTCGCGTTCAAGTGTCGCCCAGTGGGTTCTGCTCGCTCTGGGGACTCGTTGAGCATCATATCTTTCTTCTAAGGTTTACGCGAAGAACTCTGACCTTAGGGTGGGTCGTCCTCCTATTGTAAATTTGACATTTCGAAGAATCCAGTAACTAAGGGCTCTTGTTCAGCGGTTGTCGTTCATACGTATTATGTGTCCAACCCACTCTATCTTCGACTGTTCGGCGCGTAGAGCGGCATATTTGACTTTCGATTGGTGACGCAGGTCGGAGCTTCAGATCCCTTCCCTCACGTGAGGTGGGATACTCCTATCATCGTCTTTTCGACTGCACGTTCAATAACTCTGAGTAATCTTTCATCATGCTTACGCAGAGACTAGGTTTCTTGCTCATGCGCCAAGGCAGGAAGAATCGTGGAGTCCAAAGGATGGTAGGAGTCGAATGTGTTTTTTCTTCATTTCACAACGTTCCCGATGATCGTAAAAGAATCCCAAGCCTCTTGCTCTCCCTGCTCAACTCTGAAGATAAGTCGTTCGTGATGCTGATTTCTCGATTTAGATAGATGAAGCTTGCGCATTCGGAGATATTCGTTCCGTGAGCGTGAATGGGGCATGCGACACCAATCCGTTCGTCATGAACATCGTTTTTATGAGATTTAACCGAAGACCAATCTTTGCACAGGCTTTGTCAAAGTCGGCAAGCATACGTTCCGCTTGGATAATGTTTAGTGTTATAAGGACGACGTCATCAGCAAAGCGAAGATGATGTAACTGCCGACCATCGATTTTCACTTCCATATGGTCCCATTCCAGTGTTCGCATTACGTTTTCGAGGGTTGCAGTCAACGATTTTTGCGAGACGGGATCGCCTTGTCGAACATTGTTTTGACGTCGATGTTAATATCGCGGTAAAATGATGGTATCTCGGTTGTGAATTTTTTATACAGCTCAAGAAAAATTTTTGTATACTGAGTAGGGACGCACTTGTTCTCAGGGCTTCCATGACTGCTTCTATCTCAACTGAATCAAAAGACAGTTATCGCCCATGTACTACTCTGTGCGGCTGCTATCCATCAACTAACTTAAATACTTTCAACAAATAAACGGCTCTGAAGAAGGCGAAACCACCGAAACGTCAGCTATTGCATCCCAATAAATTCTGTAATAACAACCTCGTGTCTGCTTATTGAAGAAAAACATCGAATTATCAATCAATGCCGAGGTTAAAAGAAAGTCGGTCATGGGTGAATCAAAAGCCTTCTTTAAAACGATGAAATTGAGGCAGGTCTGTTGTACTCTCGCTATACTTCACTGACTCTCACTATCGTATGGGTGTGGTCCACTTTACTGAATCCTTTTCAGAACCCTATTTGCTCACATGGCTCTCCTTCGTCCAATGTCCTGACAATCCTGTTTAGGATGACTCGAAAGTTTGCAGACAACAGAGAGTAAACAGAATTGGGCGATAGTTGCCGATATCGTGGAGGTCACCTATCTTGAACAATAGCATGGTCTTATTGGTCTTCTACTGAGTAAGGCCTTCCATTCAGACAGGTAGCGTGTAAAGAGGCGAGCCAATGGGTTGACAAGGACTGGTGGAAAGTTCTTCAGGTATTCAGGTCTTATCCTATCCGAACCTGGTTGTGTTCGATTTTTCGCCGACGAAATGGCTTGTCAAATTTGAGAAGGGACAACCGGTGGTACGGCATATCCATTCTCGTTTACTTCATATGAGGGCAGAAGGACGTTGCCACTAAATAGATTAAAGTAGTGATTATGAATAATTTTCTCGATTGCCTTTCTGGACACTGTAACTGTTCCGTCTGGGCATCGCAGTACAATTATCTTGGTGTTGCAATCGGAAAAGCTTTGGCAGCCTTTTCTTCTGCTTTTCCATTTCTCTGCAGCTTCGACCATAACTGCTGCTCTTTTCTCTTTAAGCTCTTCTTTTATTGCCTTTCTGGACTGCTTTGCCACTTAGGACGTAAGTTCGCAGTGGCCTGTATCTCGTGTGATTCCGCGTTGCCGTATCAATTCGAGTGTTTCTGGCGACAAACTCCTCTTGGTGAATTTCGAAGTCTAGGCTTTCTCAGCGCAAATATGAAAATGTTAAATGGTCCAATCGTATATTTTGCCGATGTTAGAAGAAACGACATCTGCCCAACAGCCGCCTAATGAATGGATAAGTTCCAGTTTATGGTGATTTCGGGAATTCAATTTCGGGAATTTTGAATTTTGCTGTCTTTTCTCTTTTCGCGAGAAAGGAAATCTTGCACATGGTAGGTGATGGCCTGATCCCGCGTAACATTTTAGGACAACAGCGACGTTGGTTAGACAAAGCCTTTGATTTACTACGATGTGGTCTATTTCGTTGTGGTATTCTTCATTGCGAGTCTTCCAAGTCCAGTCTTCAGAGTGGAGCTTGTGAAATTCCGAGTTACCATAAATGGTTTTTGTCGTCATGATAAACTGAGAGAGCCGCTCACCCTGGTTGTTTTATTTTAATCAGTGGGTTCCAATGTGACGTTCTTCAGAAGTCTTTCTGGGCCCAATCTTAGCGTTAAAATCTTCAATGATGACATTGAAGTATGTGTGGTCTTTTCTGCAGAACTTCTGCAAGTCCATATAGTGTTAGTCTTCGTCTTCGCCTTAGTTTGCTGTCGCTGCTTAGACATCGAAGGCTACCAAAAGCGGTGATGATTAACATTTATTTCACCGAGGTCGTTCGATTCGATTGTTAGTTGTTCGGAGGAATCGATGTTCATTGAAAAACTCGTCCCGGAGAAAGTCCGCGCCGCCCACTTGTCTACTATCGTATATTCTGAATAACAGTTCTTCTGTGTCATGGAAGTCGTTGAATGGGTGGCGTTTTCTTTTCTTAACGAGTCTAGTGAAGTCCTAGCTTATCATTCTTAAGTGCATGACTAATTCCATTATCCAGGACTCAGATGCAAGTGAGTGTGTATTGTAGATCCATGTCGTTACCTTAGTTCCTTGCTATTTAGGCAGTCTGAAATGGCTCTGAGATTTTAGAAGCCTTTCCTTACTCCTCCTACCTAGCACTGTCGTATAGGAGGCTGTTTCTGGTTTAAAGGAATGAGGCCCATTCATTTCACAGTGTTTAGCCTTTGATACCTAGGTATAACTTTCTGGGCTTTGAACGTGGGGCTGAATATACTCACGGGTGACTTGCTAGTCTCTTCCGGAGTGGACGGTGAGCTTATTTGTTGGAGGTGACTCCTAACTGCCCCTATATACTCTGTCACTTGATTGTAAGCCTTTGGCCAAATTATCTCGTAGAATACAAACCGCATAAACGAGAACACACCCACGGACGCACGCATGAATATGCTCACGTAAATTCGGAAACTATGTGCCAAATCGGAGCAGCAAAAGCAGGGAGTCCATCGCTTGCATCCACCTGCGTGTCACCGAAGCAAAGTCGCTTTTGATCCTCGACTAACCCCATGCCGCTACCTGGCCACGCGCCACGTTTCCTGGAGGCTAACCTGCATAAGATCTCTCTATGAGGGATATCAACGATTATTATCATCATTAATGCTTACTTTTTATTTTTTGCTTTATATTGTTTTTTATGGCAAGGTATTAGGCGAAATATAACCACAAGATTGCTGAGATATTTGCAAAACTCCGGACCGCAGATGTCTGCGGTAGGAACGAAGGGCCTGCATGCTGTGGTGGTGAAACGCGTTACTCCCCGGAAAGGACATAGAGCGTTCCTTTCTTACCGCAGACACCTGCGGTCTAGAGTTTTGCAAATATCTCAGCAATCTTGTGGTTATTATCATCACTAATTAATAGACTCATCTAGCGCAGTAGTCAGAGGTGCGCTGCAACACGCGTGGACGTTGGTTAAACTCGCCCACCGGGCACAGCAAGCCTTCCAAGTTTTGTCTAGGAGTATGAGCACTGACTTCATGCATCACCAGGCCATCGCAGGCTGTTGTTTAGGGTAGATATGCATTCAATCACCTCTAACGATAATTTGTGAAATCAACTGCATAGAGGAAACTATGGGTTGATTAACGTAGAACACTTTATCCTTTGTCCTTTATTATTATTAATGACTAATAGTTATTAATGCTATCATTAATTATTTACTTGTTTTCTTACACCACTAGTCTTTAGCATCCGCCATGAGACAGAAAGGGAATTCGTTGCATTTGATTCGTCTCCTCCCATCCATAATTGACAGATGTCTTCGAGATATTCTCTTATGGGTTCGGCTGCTGCTTGAGGATTTACCTTTCATTATGAACGTCGTCAAATGTTGGTCAAGTCGATTATCAATAGAGTTTTGACATAGCCGATGTAGAACGTTTTTTGGACACCAGAAAGTGGGCTTTTTGCATAAAAGTATGGTACCAGTTTTTCGACCGTTGAGTGATGAGAAACTTTGTGAATCCGCTGAGGGATCGAACCAGCGTGGTGCTCGCAATGTAGTTATTACTGTAATGATTGGCTAATCTAATTAGTGATTTCACAAGTCACATTACATAAATTTTTATGCCGCCGTTGATTTTCGGTTATCAAAAATTTTCCAGAGTCCTCGATTGAATAGAATTTTATGTGAGAATCGATCTGGTCGGTTAGTATTTGCGTGTCGGTTTGGCTAATATTTATTTAAGGAGTTTAGACTTTTTTTTACGAATGTCAATGAATTCCAAAAGAGTTGCTTCACCATGTAAGCCAAGGATACGCGTTAAAGTGGTTTTAGACCTTCACCACAGGAATCTCCAGCCTTTTGTGGATCTAGGCGAGCTGTTTTCAGATAAGTCCAGCATCATTCTTTCTACTAGGTAGAGAGGTGGAACGCTTGGTTTTCCGTGGTAGGGGTTGAGTTGAACCACGGCCTTGCGTGTATTATATTGAACGACGTTTCTACATGGGTGGTGTCCGCTTCCTTGAGATAGATAGATAGTAGAGTAAAAGGTTATATGGAATAGTTATTATTTAAGCTTGCTTTATTCTTGTTAGTTAATGTTATTGTTATATACATTGTAGTGCTTACGCCTAACTTTTACGGCAATTACAACACAGGTCGCTAGTGAGTGATTGGTTGGACTTTGTCAGCAACATTGAGCAACAGTTCGCACTGGAAGCGGAACAGCGAAGTGAGATGAGCGTCGCCGAACGATTTCAGCAGCTCTACGAGCAGTGGCTCTCCGTCGGTGCTTTTTAATCCTTAGTAACTTATTTCCTTATCACCCAGTTATGATCTAGAGCATATCACCTTTGAAAGAACCAACTGAATGAAAGAAGGAGTTGAAGAGATTATTCGACTTCGCCACCGCACAAAATGAATTGAAATCTGCAACTGAAAGCTAACCGATTTCCTGAATACATTAAGCACTATCTCACTACGAAAACTACAAAAGAAAAACATGTGTCTAAAAAAGCTTCTATGTGTTTACTAAGTTTCTAAATTCACAAACAAACAGATGCCGTAACTGCCGCTTGCTCTAGTTCCGTTCTCGAATAGTGTCTAGTTTTCTTCGTAACTGAGCCGACAGGAATTCGGCATAAAAGCTTTTATTTGGCTAACGTTTCGGCACCTTCGACTTCCTCAGAACCGCGTTGAAAGTCGGTTGTCCACGGGTGGTGGTGGACCCATCGAATTAAATCTGCTGGAAGGAACACAGCTTGACTGGTTAAACTTACTCAGTGGCGCCCTTTTATACAGGAAGGATGCTGATCGATTTCAGCCTCCAGTGTGATCTACATTGGGCGAACTCCTTTAACATTCGGTGCTTCATTTGCTAGCACGTAGCGTGAGAACGAATATCCGTGTCGGCTCAATCATACGGAAAACCATTAACTATTGTTACCGATGTTTAATAAAAATTGCTTTTTAAGGAATTGATTGACTTTGGTTTACTCACCGACCTTTTCCAAACTTTTAAACCGTGTTTACCAAAATGTCGGCTTAGAAGGAAAACATTTACGATACCATTCTTAACAATGCTGGTGACCTACAGAAGTGTCTCATAGTCTTGATTTATAATTCGAAGCTGGTCAGACCATCACAGTCAACTTGTGATTTTGTACTTTAATGTTATTTTGTGGAAGCCTCAACGAAGATTGCCAGGATCACATGCAACCTCCTTCAGAACGATAATCCTTGAGCGCCGCAAAGGATAACATTCGTACATATATGTTCTGCCCAAACTTGGATATCACTTCATTTGAAGTACTGGATATCATGTTAACATCAAACTCGACTTTGAGTGCAGTTTCGTTTTCTGCCACAATTCCAGCTGTTGCCCTCTATCAGTTGTCAGGATAGGGAGACTGTCTGCAGAGCAAATTTGTCGCCATCAATCTATTTTTGATGTGCATTCTTCTTTGGTGCTTAAAATAAGAACTAGATTGCTAGATGTGTTAACTACGACGTTTTCGTTAACCTTAATTTTGAAAAATTTGCGGCTGCTTTCATGATCAGGTTTTTAATAGTTGTTTACCCTTCAGGTTCCTCTATTAGCTGTTTTTTTCTTTCAACAGATATTTCCTCCGTGTAATTGCTGGCTTTTGGTAATTCCCATTAAGGTTTTAAACTGCGTTGGATCTCCTAGCCATCTCGGGATTAATGTCTATTTCAGTGATTTCCGTTGTGGAGCAGCTTCTTCTTTCAGGCAACTTAGACTAATACTTCATCTTCCAGTCGCTTAGTGCAAACTCCTAATATCTTGATCACAAGCAGAATCCGCTCTGCAAATCCCAGGACGTTTCTTTGAGAGGCAATGCTACGCCGATGACTCTTATGCTTCTCATTCATTACAGGGTGACATAAAATATGTTCACACCTAGTAAAAGTGTGGATAAAAACTAACTAGTCTAACATAAGCAACTAGCTCCTTTAAGTGTCTTTGGTTTCTTGCATAAGCACAACAAGCACTGAGTCGAAATTTCTAGAAATAAAAAGAGGCTTTTTGATGTTAATAACCAGTTTTCTTTACTTTCAGGAGCAAGAGGATGCACAGGAAAACAAAGTAATCTTCGACCGTTTGGCACGACTTTATCTTACTTACTACGAAATTGAATGGTCCTCTCCGGCTAACGAGGTTCGAAATACCTAAAGCACAAAACTTTTCTTAGCCATGCGACAATTTTTGGCGTTATCGACTAAAACTGAGTTCTCTAGCATGTACATTCCGAACATATCTTTTTCTAAGAACAAGTTTCACGTTTCCTTTCCAACCTGGGAATAGAAATACCCTGTTATTTTGTTTTTGAAAACAAAATGGCCAGAATGAATATGCCTTGATTATGCCTTGAATATATTCATTAGCGTTATTTTTCATGATGGTCCTCTTTCAGCTGGCACTCCTTAACTTCGCTTACTGGGATGATGGTGGTGACGAACCACGCTCGCTTACACTAAAGAAGAAAGGATTCTGGGATATCTTAGAGGATATCAAGACGAAAGTTCCGGTTGACAGAATCAAACTGAATTCTGTTGTTAATCAAATAAAATATTCAGGTGAGGATTTGGTGTAACTTAAGCACATAACGCCCAAAGATGGTTTTTCGACAGCTGACTCTAATTTCTCGATCACTAGGGAATCAAGAGTTTAAAACATAACAGATTTATAAAGGAAGTTTTCACTATATCATAGATCCCTTGTTTCGTTTTCACACACAGTGCTTTCGGACTTAAGTATGTTTAGAAATAAAACTTCCCAAAAATTGGTAACGAGATTTAACCACAACGTTGCTGAGATATTTGCAAAACTCTGGACCGCAGGTGTCTATGGTGGGGAACGAACGCGCTATTGCGCTACTCCCCGGAAAGGACAATAGCGCGTTCGTTCCCCNCGGTCCAGAGTTTTGCAAATATCTCAGCAACGTTGTGGTTGTATTTCGCTTAGTAGCCTGCCGTGAAATAATAGTAGGTAGAAAATAAAATGGTATAACAACGAGATCTAAGTTTTCGAAATTTGCAACGGAAAACCAGAAGATACGAACATAGACAATGCGTTACTGTCGAACGCTGTTTATGCTAGACGAAATTCAACCTGTACCTTTACTTTTGTTTTTAAAATATGAGCTTTGAAGCAATGAGGTGGAAGAAATACATGCCATGGATCCCAAAAAATCACAATTTACACAACATGTTTGTTACCGACGATGAATTTTCAGAGGAGGGTGTATCGTTGTGCATGAATAATGGAGAGGAACACCGTTATAACCATGTTATTGTAACCTGCTCATTAGGTTACTTGAAGAAGAATCACAAATCGTTCTTCTGCCCGCCACTCGGTTCTCGAAAAGCAGATGCTATCGCTCTTTTAGGTAAGTCTCCATAAAGATGCACATTTTGATGATAATGTATCAACTATCACAATGAAGCTGAGATATTTGCAAAACTCCGCACCACAGGTGTCTGCGGTGGGAAACAAATGCGCTTTTGTCCTTTCCGGAAAGTAACACGTTCACCACCACACCATGCTGGTCCTTCATTGGCGTGAATCCACGTGGATTATTCAGTGGGTAATTTATAGAAAAGAGTTAGTGTGCGCAGAAGATCTTTTGCATCCAATGCGATTGAAATTGAGGCATCATGGTCCTTTGTTGAAGTTATGGAGGTGTTTGACGGACTAGTTTGCTGTTAACGTGGCCTTTTGTTTCTCTGAAGAAAGCAAAATCCGCCGAGACGATAGCTATTGTGAATAAGTAATATCTCGCATGTGCTCACCAAGTAAATAGCGTATTGTTTGTCAGTGCAGATCAAAATAGAAAGTCGCTTTTGGGAATTTAGTGCGATAGGTACGAAGATTTCTTCCGCTATCTTTCTAACACAACGTCTTCCACTTGCCTGGGATTTGTTCTTCTTGACGTCAAAACGTTTTGTACATTGCGAGAACTACATGTGATTTGTTGCTTAGGAAATCGACCGTGATGTCAACTGATCCTGGAGCTCTTTCCTGTGACGATTTCTATCTCAACTAGACTTAGTGAAAGGAATCTCGGGAATTTTCATCAGAGGGAGAGGGGTTCGGGGCCGAGTTGGGACTGTTGAAGGAGAAAGATTGATCTACAACGTTTCCGTTATCAATCCTACATTACGGTGAGATGTGATGTCCTTACCAATGCGTATTCTACTGCACATTAGTTTCGTTCTTTTCTCAAGCAACTTCTTAGTGGTAATAGAGATGCGGTTTACGCTCCTTGTTTGAGGAACAAAGTAACGTTCAGAACAAGTTCGTACTTCTTCTTTTCATTTATATGACCTTATGAACTAATCTACTTTAGCTGATGCGAGGTTGGTACAGGTCTTCGTTGTCGTTGTCGTTGTTGTTGGTGTTGTTGGTCGATGGCTAACGCTTCGGCGATTTCGCCTTCCTCGGAACCTGGACGTATTTCATATAAGAATACTTTAATTATTCGATGGAAAAAAGGCTAGAGTATTAACGAAGATCGGACTTTTAAATAGACGCCATATTGAACAGAAAGGCTGCTCACCGTGAGTGGGCTGGCCCACGCGTTGTTCACGTGGGGTCGCTAGCAAGACACGTCGCAGGGTCAAAATATCATTTTGAAATAGGGCGCCAGGTCACGCGTGATAGTGAGGCATTCGCCTTTCCGGCTCATATTTGGATTTTTTGGAATCTTTCCAAAACGCCCCAAGAGTTTTGCGCGTTGATGTTTTCGATTTCTGAGCTAGGATCCGCACAGTCACTTCAAAATCATCGTCGTTGTGCCTATGTGCCCTATGCGTATCTAGAGGAGTGTTGTAACGAATTTTAACTTTCCCATCTAGGTGTTCTTTTATGCGGACACGAAGTGGTTTACCCGTTTCCCCAATATATGCCTCGCCGCATGCGTTACATGAGATCAAGTATGTGGTACTACCTGAACTCATGTAATCCCTGTCTCTCCCATTAGGGCAAAGTGTACAGCTTTCTGAACTGCAAAAACGATGGTAGAGACGGTTGCGAACTGACTGACGGCATAGGGTATTGGGTGGGATGTTAATAATAACTCGTAGAGTTGCTCGTAGAGCATGAAAGGAAAATGAAAATGTACGGCTTGTGGATTGCGCAACTAATGACTCTCTTAAAACAGTGTATTAGTTGTTCAATCTTCAGATGGTCTAGAAAACATTTTGCACAAATTAGAGGGTTGTCCGTGGGACAGCGTTTAGCACCAAGCCATGCCATCGCTTTCATGTCTAAGGTGGAAACTCCAGTTCTCGATCACCGACCCTTACTCTACTGTCGATACATAGACGACTGCTTCATCGTCTGTTCCACACAAGAACAGATGGATGAGTGCTTTGAATTATTAAACCGACAGTCAGAGTATATAAAATTTACACGAGAAAAACCTACCGAGAGCTGGTTTCCATTCTTAAACATCCAAATAAAGCTCTCAGTAAGTGGCTATTTAGCAAAATGGTATCGCAAGCCAAGTAGTAAAAACATTCTCGTTCACTACCTTCCCTCTCATCCTTCACAAATGAAAAAAGCACTTATAAAAAACATGTACCGCACGGCTAAAAATGTGTGTACAGAAGAAGAGGAAAGGAAGGAATCGCAAAACCTGGCACGAAAAATAGCCATTTCCAATGGCTACGGAGTATAAGACACTCGGGTTAGACAAAACGTAGGGTAGTTCCCGAAAATAATGTTTCGGAGCTAAGCTCCCCTTTAAGCTACCCTTCATATCAAATGGAGTAAGTCACGCCATTAAAGTGCTTGAGAAAAAGTGGTCTAGAAAATTATGTAACGATTATTGACATCCCACCCAATACCCTACGCCGTCAGTTAGTTCCAAACCGTCTCTATGATCGTTTGTGCAGCTCAGAAAACTGTATGATCTGTCCTAACGGGAGAGACGGAGATTGCATGAGTTTAGGTATAATATATTTGATCCCATGTAACGAATGCGGCGAGGAATATATTGGAGAAACAGGTAGACCAATTTGTGTCCGCATAAAAGAACACCTAGATGGGAAAGTTAAAATTCGTTACAACACTCCTCTAGGTACGCATAGGGCACACAGGCACAACGACGATGATTTTGAAGTGACTGCGCGGATCCTAGCTCAGGAATCGAAAACATCAACGCGCAAAACTCTTGGGGCGTTTTGCATAGATTCCAAAAATCCAAATATGAACCGGAAAGATGAATGCCGCACTATCACACGTGACCTGGCGCCCCCTATTTCAAAACGATATTTTGACCCCGCGATGTGTCTTGCTCGCGACTCCACGTGAACAACGCATGGGCCAGCCCACTCTTAACATCACGGTGAGCAGCCTTTCTGTTCAATATGGCGCCTATTTAAAAGTTTTATCTTCATTAGTACTTTTGCCTTTTTTCCACCGAATAATTGAAGTATTCTTATATGAAATACGTCCAGCTTGTGAGGAAGGCGAAATCGCCAAAACGTCAACCATCGGCCAAGAACAGCAAGAACAACGACAACGACAACGAAGACCTCTACCAACCTCGCATCAGCTAAAGATCAGTTTATAAGGTCATATAAATAAATATATTAAATATCTATGCTGAGGTTTATATAAAATCAGTCTTTTGAGTTTGTACTTCTTTGTCAAGCAGCTCGTTGCCTTTGGTCTCATCTTTCCTAATCTGCTAGTCCCGTTTGGATAGGATTTCGCACAGAATGTTTCACTTATATGCAGGTTGAATTTTTCCCTTGGTCGAGGACACAAATTTTTTTTTCAGCTTACGAATGAATCGAGTCTTTGCACAAAGAACGCGACAAGGCTAAGAATGTGTCAACTAGGCACCCTGTTGGGAGTATGGTCTATCTTTACATGTGTCGTAACGTTAGATGATTTCCATGTTTAGCGGCGATATTCTGTGCTGTGGAAGAATGGACATCCATGGAACAACCATGCAATGTTGTAGATAAGAGTCCAATGAAATAGTTTCCATTCTCAATTCTTTTCCCACTTCAAGATTTCCAATTCTGTAGACTCTTTCATTGGCCTATCTGTTTTGAAACGCTCTCCATCCTATTTCGTGGGCTTACCTTATGGTTTCCAGCTCAGGTAGCTTCCTAGTTAGCGCGATATTCAGTCACCTCTTGTTGGTTCCTTCATCGCCTGGCGTCATGGACGAAACCACCTAGTGCCCGGGATATCGCGGTTGTATTGCTGGTTGGGATAGCCTGGTTAATTCCCTGATCTCATGAGGTAGCCTAGCTAAGGCTTTTTTGGGTACTCAACACAATGTGGATCTTAGAGAAGCACTGTTTCCGTACCGGCTCATCCAACCAGATGACTACTGGAAATTGAAATTTTCCATAAGATCGATTTTTCTACTTCAAATATGTAATTATGAAGGATAACGTGAAATTTTTTTCGTCCATTATGAGTGCATTTTGTTCACCCGAACCTGAACTCATCCTTCCGTTCTGACTATGTCGATTTCAATCCTGTTAACCGCAGTGTCAAGTACAGAAAGTAAATTGCCAAAATTTTTTTCCTATTTCTAAGTTCCTATTTTTAAATTCCTAAATTTTTTCCTAAAAATTCCTATCACTGTATTATAAAACACTGCTATGCTCCTTTTATACTTCCAAGACCTCTTGGGATACTCAATCAAACTGACATTGTGCCTAGTCGCTTGCACCTGGACGTTTAAACCCCTCCAGTGAGTCTTCGCTCATTAGGAATTTGTTATTCGGATGCATGGTGAATGTCACAATGTACGTCTAAAAGCTGATTGGCATTACTAACTTCAGCTCTACCTCCGTGGAGTGAAAAATTTGAAGGAAAGGCTTTTTTCTCGGGTGTATACAAAGTAATTTTTCAATCTCGCAAAAGAAAAGCCAAGATGAGGCAAGAAAGCTTGAAGGGCAGTGCGGGTTTTGTCCGTTCACTAGAAGTCAGACTAATTACTTGCAGGTTTCGGAAACATGATGAAGGTCTTCCTGGAATATTCGGCACCATGGTGGCCTCACGACGCTAATGCGATTGCACCATTGCAGTCGAGTAGCCCGCTGGCTGAGTCGTTTCCGATGTTGCAGCCACTTCATTGGAATAACAAAGTCCAAAAAATCATTTTTGTGAAAAATTTGACGTTTTTATAAACTCTATAACAAATAACTAGCCACTACTCTGCCCTCCTCACCAATGTAACGTGGTATAGGGAAATTTGCAGCCTCGTGATTGGGATATACGAAATACACGACGAAAACAGACAGCGATGAGTTACGGATTGCCAGGTTTTCACTTCTTAGAGAAGTAAACACAGGTGAACTTATCGAAGAACCAACCACTGCTGTGTTTAGTTATTCCACAATTATGAACTTAAAAACGTTCCCCCGGAGTCACCGATGTGCCATAATCAAAGGCGGTTGATACATATTGGAATAATGATCTTCGTTTTCTTGTTATTCAAAAAATGGTAAGTTTTCAAAGTCAAAAATTCCTACATGCTTCACGGATTATGAAGTGGGAGATATATGAGATACTAGCGACGAGGCGCAATTGCAATGACAAAGCCAAAATCACTCTTTTGCTTGAAAAATTGAAGGGCATATACACCTACAGCCAAGCAAAACAAGAAAGTCAGCAGACAATATCCATTAGAATATAATCAGTTTATCAAGGAACCTAGACACAATATAAGACGTTTTAGATCCTCGTAGCATGGGTATCCGGAAAAGGTCCAGGGTTAATCAGCGAGCTCAGCGATCAAAAATTAATCGAAGGACTTACACATCACCTACGAGAAGCGTTTGGTGACCAAACAATACCTCTTCCAATTAGGATATTCAGGTTAGATTTCGAACAGCTACATTCAACAGGTAGTTTTCTTTAGTAATTCACTGTTTTCTTGTTGAACATACTCAACGTTGTTATTACATCAATTATTCATTCAAAAAGCCGACGTTTCGGCGGTTTCGCACTATTCGAGGTCCGGAAGTATCAAATTGTTGCGCAATTTACTCAGTTAAAAACTTCCGTAACTTCATGAGATAAGATTTAGTATGTGTCTTGTTTGTACCTGTCTAGTGGAGTGCGCAATCTGACTTCGAAAATCCCAACTAGGTGCTCTTTTATACGGACGCGAGTGGCCTACCCGTTTCGCCAACATGTTCATCCCCACACGCCTTGAGAGAGATTAGTTACACTGTACCCGAACTGATGCACTCATCTCTTTACTGTAACGGAAAATTATACAGTTGTACATTGAGAGACTTAAAGTCAAGCGGCACATTCCACTAGGCATGGACATGACAGCAAGCCACAACCAACAAGTAAAAGTCACTATCTTCGCATAGGAGTCCAAAACATCAGCGCGTAAAACTCTTGCAGCGTTTTGGATCGATTTCAGAACTCTAGACATGAACCACAAGGAGCCCGTTGTGATCACGCGTAACCATGCCCCATACCTCTGACTGATTTGAACCGAGCCAAGAACAATCCTCATCCATGTCTCAGCGCAGCGGCGCTCCACCAAGCTGGGCCACAAAGCGTGTTTGAAAGTGACTGTTTATTATGCGAATAAAAATTTATGTACTAAGTTTTATTTGCTGAGGTTATGAAAGTCTTTAACTGAACAGACTGCGTGCCAATTCGCACTTCCGGGCTCTGAATACCGTAATAGCGTACTGCTGGAACATTAGCAATTGTGAGTGAATAAATTCTGTAGTAACAAGCTCGTGTTTGTCCATCAAGAAAACAGCGAATTATTGATGATTGCCGAGCCTAAAAGAAAGTCTGTCCCATGATTTGCTACATGATATCCTGGTTATTGTTGGAAAGTTTGCACTAGTTTCACTTAGACACTTTATCCTGTATCTCGTCATTTTTAGTAGGGATTTTGTATTAAACAATCAACATGAAATGCGGGGGTAATGACAGCGCCTGGTTAACAGCAACTCGCAACTAGGAACGAGCTGACTTAGTTTTTAACAATGTTCTTATAGACACAACTGGATCACGGATCCGCTGGTGAGAGGCAGCTACTCTTACTTGACACCTGAATCCGCCAAATTCGTGCCAGATGTATTCGAAACTATGGCCGAACCTGTCAGTATAGACGACAAGTGGGTTGTTCTTGAAAGGTTTATTCCGCAGGTTTAATTTAAAGCCATTATCGGTACCATTTTTAAAGTTCAATGTATGCGCAAGGGAAAAAGGATAGCACCTTTAGACCGTTTTGTGGTAGATGGAACCGAACACACTATTAGATATATTTCAAAAGCCGACCATCATTTAACCTTGGCACTATTAATGAATACCCTGTTAGGTTATCAAGCCGACACGGTTGATGAAAACAAAGCTCATTTGGCTAACGTTTCGCAACTTCTATGCAGTATGTATTCCTTCGCTGACAAGCTTTAATTAGCTTAGCTTAGCTTACTTCTATACAATTGCTAATTTTTGCAATTAGTTAAGATGCAACCTGACAATTTCTTCGTGAAATCTGGTCAATGTCAGAAAGCGTTTGTGGAAGAACAGATGGAGTCGGAAATAAAGAAAAAATCGGAACTATAATGCGAATGAAGAAACTGCTCGAAGCTAACAACCATAGACACTGCCATCTTACCGTATCCCTGTCACCCAACTTTTCCCTTTCTCAGACTTTGGCGCCTTTTTGATGACGAAGAAACACACTGCTAAAAACAGCTTTTATTGAAAACGTCTTTTTGGAAGTGTTGAACCGTTTCCTCCAGACGGTTCATCGCCTCATCATACTGAGAGGTGTTCCTGGGTATCGTGCTGCGATGAACAGTGGAAGTATTCATCACCACAGCAGGGTCTCCCAAGATGAGAAGGAATCCGTCGTTTCCACCAGGAAGCCCAGCTAAGCGTAAGCCACTACCAGGATCCACTACAGTCCTGGTATCAAATTAGCCGCATGGTCGCAAATCTCCCTGTGAACCACAAGGACTGGGAATACCCGTCGTCGCGACCACCTGAGGCAGTTTAACCAGGTTGACCTCGAGACTCCAGGGAACTATAATGGCTAAACCAACAAATCTCCAGAGAATGGAGATCATGCTGAGGCCCGCACAACCAGTGAAGACGGGCCACCTATGTATCCAAGTTGAAGCTCCTCTTTTCAGCGAGGGATCGAGATTCTAACATGCCGGTTTCGAAATTCAAACATTTAGAAGATGAATTTGTACAAAAAACAAACAAATAGATGGCCTATCGAAGCCCATTTCGCCAGTAGTAAGTGTCTCACGCTCTCTTCAAAAGCATAAAATGACCAATTTAAGACCGATATTGTGCTTCGCTGGAGAGCACACACATGCCACAATGTATCAAACGACGATCGGTGCATATGAATCAGGAGAACGGGAAGCCCGTCGAATTCTCGACTACCTCACTGTTACGAAGTCGAAATAATGTGAACATTTGTGCCTTCTGAGGAATCCAAAGGCGTTGCCATGTCATACGTTAAGATGCTGCAATTTTTGTGCCTTAATGAACACTGTAGAGACTAAGTATCTCACTAGCTTATGTGTAGTATGGTACAGTATGCATATCCATATTAAGGTTTTGCACAACTAACCCGAGTATAATGTCAATTAGGAGATCCAATTATAGCACCCTGTAGGAGATCCAATTATAGCATCCTGTAGGAGATCCAATTATGGCACCCTGTTTTCTTGACTAGAACTCTCCTGCCCTATTCAGCCCGGTTATTTCCGTCTGTAGTGTTCCTTCTTTTATGGGTTCTCAACCAGTCGAGAATTAAAATTACGTCATACCACAACATTTTTAATGTGTTCTTACTTCGAAACAAGTTGTGGACCTTAAAGATTGAAAGTGCGCAGAAATCCAAACCCGTGAAGAACCACCACGCCACTGAATAAGCCATTCCAGCCACTTTGCACTAAGGAAATCAGCGAAGCATGCAATAAAAACTATAGGACCTAAACACCGATAGTTGCCTATTTCAATTCAGATGAATAACAATGTATGAGATCCCTAAGATGTATGAGAACCTTCCGAAATCATCTTTGAACAATGTGTTTTCCTTGGTTTAAGAATACTTTAGAACCTAGATATACCTTCGTATTTCAATAAATTGTGAAAAATATTACGGTTATCGTACTAGTTTAAAGAACACAAAATATAACTTCATGGAAAAGGGCTAGTGATTGCTTTTTTGCTCCTGAAATTCGATTAGTGAAGCCACGCCCCTTTGTCTGCTCTGAGAGAAAATCTAGCGGAATGGTAAAAGTGGAACCTAGCTGCAACCAGCGAAAATAGACGATATATGATAAAACGTAATATTCATGCTTCGAATAAAAGCAACTACCAGTCTTGAGCAAAACAAAATTAAAACACATGCAATACTACATGTACTCATTGCTTCACTACTTTGTTCACAACAAACTAGTAGAACGTTAGAATGACTGACTTCAACACGTTGTGCGAACACGATAATGTCAAAAGTGAGATAACCAAGAATATGTAAGTAATTTAACAGGGAAACAAACGTCGCCAGAGACAGAGATAGTAAGGAGAGTCATCAGAAAACAAGTAAAAAAAAATTTCAGCTACGATACATGAAATATTAAGGCAACATTAAAATTTGTCATGGAGTTCACCAATCTCCATCGATATCGGACGACTTGTTTAGTTCACCGGATTTGTCGTTATTTTCTAAACAATAGATAAACGGCAGGGTTTCAACGTAAGTTTACTGCAAGTCGTTGGTAATGGGGACCTTATTATAATATGTAGTGAAAAAACAATAGAAATGCAATATAAACACGGCAAGAAAAACAATACTCAATTAATAGCATGTAATACCTAATAAGTATCCATATCTAATAAATAAATAAATAAATATATATATATATATATATATATATATATATATATGAAAATACCTAATAAGCGGCGCGTGTGGTACAGTGGTCGGAGACGCCCTGCAAACACACGTGGAATCGATTTCCGCGTCCATGACCCACCAAGCCTTCCATCCCTCCGGGGTCGTCAAATTGGCACCAGACTTGGGGAAGATAGCAGCACTGGCTCGATATATCGATAGGCCACCGCGAGTCATTGTAAAGGCCAGATATGCATTCAAACGCCTCCAACGATACTTAATGGAGTCGAATGCATGGCGCATCTCTCAGGGATTGATCAACGCCAAGAGTTTTATCCTTTATTTTTTCAATACTTAATAGACAGCTAAAAGCACAATATAGATAAAACTAATAATTTTATGGCTCAACTATACTTAATCATGAAGGCTACTCACTTGTTGTCTCAACATTAAAGCCTGCTGAACCGAGTTCACCGCAGTCATCGCAATTGCTGTTTGTCAATGTAGCCTCTGTTAAAATGAGAAAATTAAGACCTTGGGCAGATTTAGGAAACAGCAGGAAACAATTGTTAATGTGGAAATAATAAACCGCAATCTTTGTCATTCCAGTCACTTATACTAATTATTTTACACGTACTGATCACAAATTCCGATTTCATTTTCCGTACCTTTGATAACACTCACTAAACTGTTATCTGTACTCTTTTTTAAAACCTCAGTACATACTTGGCCTTTTAAATACCCTTCTACCAAGTCGGTTTATTATGATGAAATGTCCAATACAAGGTGTTTGCTTGTCGCCTATGTTCCAGTGGACCAACATTGTATCAAAGTTTGAGAAGTAACTCAACTGCTACAAACACCTTATGGATAGAAAACATAACTTAACTCTCTGCAAATGAGGAAGGATCTAGGAGGACTTATACACCAACCGCAGATCTCACCATCGGAATACCGTAGCTAAGTAGCTACAAAACTTTATGTAACTGCTACTATAGTGAAAGAGATAGTTGCTCCGTAGTACCGCACTGTAATCGACAAGGGCTCGCGACTGCATATGATAAAGACTTGGGAAAGCCCTAGCACAGTTAATTCTGAGCTCCAAAAAAAAAACCACGTTCGCTCAGTATTCAAAATGCTAGAAAAGTCAAATAGGCTAATTTACGACTATACGCGTCGAAAACCAGTCCATTTTGAAACCATAACTTTCACGCCGCCGTTCAATGCTGGTAAAGCTGGCTTAGTTAACACATTAATACATCTATTCGTTACCCATATGGCTGAATTTCATAAATTTTTTCTCTCATTTTGTCATTAGACTTGCATTTTATTTAACAGCGAATCAGAATATCAACTGCTAGTAACTAGCATCGGTAGCTGATGACGTTCAGTAAGAAATAGCATAAAATATAAAACTACCAATTACGAAAGAAAACCGAATTCATAAAGAACTGCTGTTGAAGAAAGCAAACTACACTTAATGAATTCCGTCTTCATAATTCAAATCAATAGAGAATATCACGTCTAAGACCTTAAAGACCACGTTTCTCGGAATAAAAGTGTGCTAAGCAACTAAAAAGCGAAGACGATAGGTGGCGCCATAAAAGATAGGCCGACGTGTTCGTTTCACATGTAAACCAGTTGTAGTCCCAGTTCAAATAGTGAAACAGATCCTCAAGTCGTAGCCGAACACTCACGTAAACGCCCCATCTCCATGGATAACATTTGAAAGACTAGTAAATGAACGAAGTGCTAAGGCAACACAATATATGGAAAAGCCTCATGTAGGAATACATCTGAAGTTTTTCTCTGTGCCTTATTGAAAAACAAGACTATTGTTGGCATGTGGAAATGATTTTATGTTGGAAAACACAAAACTGGTACCATGAGTTTCGATAAGCCCAAGTGTTCGTGCGTCTCTCGTAGTTTACAACAGTTAGCCGAACAAAAATAAAATCATCACCTTCACTTTTCACTGGCCATCCATGCCCACCACTGAAGCCGAAGCTAAGGTTATCAGAGGTATTTTGCCCAGACATTTCCTCTAACCACATGGGAATCTTCTGATTTGTTTCTGCCGCCACCTTTGAAAAAATCTGGTTGTCAAGGAACTCTATACAGTAGAAATATTTAACGCATATATTTTAGTATAAAAGTGTTAAATAAAAGCTCACTAACTTTAGTAAGGAGTTTGACAATACCACTGTCGACAGAAGAGTCAATAAAAGTGGTTGCAAAACCACCATGCAAACGACCAGTTCGACCAATGCGGTGGATATACTTGTTAACAATCTAAAGCATATTAAACCTTAATTAGAACCCTACTCACCGTTAAACACAAGGAATACTTTTGGTTAATATGCACACACATTGAAATAAGCGACAAAATATAAACTTTAAAAAAAAATGAACCTCATGCGGTGATCCATGTGGCAAATCGTAATTGATGACGTGATCTAACCCATGAATGTCCAAACCACTAAATATGTTTGCAAACGAGTGTTATGAGAAGCGGTAGAATAATAAGAGACAAAGTGTAATAAAGCAAACCGTTGACATACGTCGGTCCCTACGAGGACATGCAAACTCCCATCTCTCAGTTGTTTGACAAGGCGTTCGCGCTCGTCTTGTGGACGATTACTTTAAATAACCGTTGAATTATGAAATTCGACAAGACATAAAAGCAGAACAATGACTCAGGGACTGACTATGTCCTCAAAATGGAGCACAAATACGGCATGTTTTTCGAGAAACACAAAGTCTTTTAAATTAAAGACAGATTTGTTGAAGATAGCGGCCAACCTATTTATGCTTCCTGCTTTAATGTCCCTATTTATGAGGACAAGAGCAAGAAAGTCTGCCTGGTGCTTTGATCCAACAAAAACTAACGTGCGCTTCACAGAATTGTCTAAATAAAAAATAAGACCGAACTGTTGCGAAAGTCACAACTCTCTACATTTTCAAGTTTACTTAGATTAAAACGAGTTTTAGACTTTACAATTAAAGTTATAAAAACATTTGATTCAGTAAAAAATAATAATTATTGCCACCTTCATCCGGATTATCACGCTGTTTCTGCAGAATTTCAAAGAGCTTTTCGTTTTTCTCACATGAGCCCCCGTTCACTTTCTCAAACAATTGCACAACCCGTGCGTTCGCACGGTTACGGGCTCCATTCGAAACCTTTGCGTATCTGAGACATCACAAAAGTGAAAATTTAGAAAAATCCGAATATTAAAAAGAAACGAAAATTATAAATATATGCAAACAATACTTTTTCCTCATTATATCTCGCGCCAATTGTTCAACGTTCTCAGGGAATGTAGCACTGAACAGCAGTGTCTGTCTCGAGTCGACCTGAACCGAACATATACAGATTTAACATAATTATGAGACTAACTCATTTGGAATCCATAAAGTTTCTACTTAAAATAAAGATCAGTACTTTCGGAAGTGCTGGATTGTCCAAAATTGATCTGATGTGATTCTGTCGACCGTCTTCGAGGAGCATATCTGCTTCGTCTAACACCAGGAAGCGCAGTGTTGATATGTTAACCTGGTATGAAATTATGAATAAGTATATGTGATTTTAGAAACATTTTGAAAATTAGATTTGTGAAGTTTCATTTCCTGCTCGAAAAAAGGATCACCAACTTCATACTCCACGTATTTCTACTAAGCAAATCGGAAATAAATCAAGACAGAAACGTATGCGATGTTTTACGGAATAGCTACTTATGACATAATGCAGATCAATATCTACTCCACTCGAATGCTAACCCTAAGTATAGGTCCCTTTAAGACAGAACCCGATTAACTACCAGTGAACGTTTCTTCCCAAAACAATGCAAAAAACAGTCTCATTTCCCTGAGTGTGGAAGAGCCATTCCCCTCATAAGGAAGCGTTGGTTAGTACGAGTGCAGAAAGATACTAGGGCGACCTATATCTCGAAGCTCTAAGCTCGAAGCTTTAACGAATCCTACTCCCACCGCAGCTATCACGTAAATCTTCCGCTGCGGATTCGTTGATGTATAGCAAGATGATTTAACACAAAGTCATCGCTTGACTATTGTGAAAAAATGCAAACATAACTCCGACTAAGATAACGCAGAATAGTCACTCGAAAGGCACATAAAGAAGTCGGTAGAGTCAGCGGAATCCCTGTTAATCGTCACACACATATACACATATACACACATACGCACACACATATGCACATACACATGCACATATATACATACACATATACACATACACATACACATACACATGCATAAAGCGAGTATCTCCCTCGTCAGCGCGAGAAAAACAGGTAGTACATCTTCTAATTCACATGTGTTTGAATAAAACACAAGGTCACTGCTTTGTTTGGCGTGTTTAACACGTCCTATCTGCAACCAGGAAACACGCCACATGGCTTCGCGACTGACCAGCTAGGGATTCGCCAGTGAAGGAAACCGTGAGAATTTGTGGTAGTTACGAATAGTTCCTCAATCATACTTTTTTGAGCAAGATGACCGTGCTCAACGTCCTCAACTGGTCTGGAATTACTTCTTTTTGAAGGTATGAGTTGAAAGAAATGCATGTGTTTTGTTGCCGCCAACTCAAGAAGAAAAATATACAGATGCCCTGTCATTTGGTTTGGAGATGTACATCACTTGTTTTTTCTTTTTTCTTGATCACAAGGAAAATAATGGCGGAAAGCTTTTCAGAAATTCATATCGCGGTAAGAGGTGGTATCAATCTCTGTTCGTTATCGTCGATAACAGGGCATTCTAATGACGTACTTCTCGACGACGTTTCTCCCACAGTGGATAGTTTCAACTTCTTTCAAGTTTTTTCTTTCGCAACGGATATAAACCCTTCTGCAGACATCTTCTTAATCTGATACTTATTATCATCTTTGTTAAGAGTGTTGCAATAAAATCAAATTTCAGTTTTGTTCTCTCCTGGTTGCTTTACTGACTGACTTCACTGACTGCTTTACTGATTGATGGTGCTAAATGTGGATTCCATTTTCTAGACAGAACAGTTGCATTGTGTTCGACATTACATTTAAGGTCTTCGATAGGCAACTTGCTTTCGGTTGAATACTGTTTGGTGGTTACTCACTGCTTCTCATGAAGTTATCGAAACGGTCATGTTACTACTCGGTATCACGAAAGTTCCTATGGAAAGGAAATATTCAGGTACGAAGCGAAACGAAGCACTTTCGAGATACGAAGTGCTACTACAACATTTCGATAACATGTTCGGTAACAGTGAGTGATGGTTAAAAAAAATCAAGAACCCAGTAGTAAGACCACGTAGATTTTGTAATAAAGCACGCTGCTATACATATCCCTCCAGCAATATATGCAAATCTGGCGCGCGTCGAGGATAAAAACAGACTTTCACAACGATTGTTGAGAACCAATCTCTGAGGAACGATAGTCCAGCCTATTCAGGTAATGAAAAGCGTGAAGGATAAAGCTCTCGACGCTTATCAAACCATCAGAAATGCACTATGTATTCGAATGCACCAAGCACCGTTAGGGGTGAGCAAATGCATATTTGGCAGACATAATGGTCGGGTTGGTTATTTGATGTAGAGTTCTCTTATTCTTCCAGACAAGTGTGCTTCCAATTTGCCTCCTACTCAAGCATGTGAGGGGCTGAGGCCGTGGCACGACATCGAACCAACGACCACGTGTGTCTTTCAAGACTTCTCTAAGCACTGCGATATACGCGTCACCTACTCATGTGCTATAACAAGTGAATGAAAATTTCAAATAAGCAAAAAAGTAGCCATTTAGACTGGGTAAAAGACAGACATAGTATGGATGGCCAGATAACAACGGTGAAATCCTCACATCGCACTTTTCGATAAAATCCATAAGTCGTCCACTAGTTCCTATGAGAACATCGCAACCTTTGTGAATTTCTGCGAGATTTTTCCATCGCGGTATTTCACCATATGCAACACAGCACCTAATCTCGGTTTCTGAAATCAGTGATGATTTAACATAGTATATTCTTCACCACCCAAGCTTCTAAATACCAGAAGCTTCTTAACTACTAGGGTAATCAGAAGCTAGAGGAATTCTAAGGTTTATACTTGCATAAAGTTTTACTCAATCACTAAGGGTACGCACAAATATTATAAGTCGCTCCGTTCATCTTAAATTGTACATTTCAAATCATTAAAGGATTCGGAAAAAAAAGATTGGAATTACACAGGTGTTAAAGCAATCGCGGCAATCATAAGAAAAAACGTATTTGGTGACGTGATCATGTCTTACTAGTAGAAATTTCCCTTGCTGAATTATTTTGGCGTTCGAAATATTATTCTCAACGGAAAAGGGAGAGTAAACGATTAATGATCTCCATAAAATTAAAATACCATCCTAATAGAAGAATAACACATGTATACTGGTGACAAAAACCTGAAATATCTAATGCGTCTATTACAACGAGTTAAAATATATTTTTTGAAATTGAAGAGTCAAATTACTTCCCGTCATGTGGGTCACGTTCGATACTTGCGAATACGTTAAGTCTTATCAAGAATACTGATAAGGGCGACTTTCGACATCATGCAGGTTAAGTAGTGAGAAATTTTGGAGTCATTCTGTTAATTTCGCAACATAAGGAGCGAAACATAAATGATATTTCACAAGGCGACCATCATTTAATCTCGGTGGTAAAACAACCAACACGTGCTCAAATCGTTGACCTTACCCGAGGTTAACAAATTAACTTTATTCGGCCAACGTTTCGATGCCTTCGTCTTCATCGGAGCCGAAGGTCCAAGTCGATCGCCCACAGTCTGATGAAAATGAAAACGTCGAAATGGTGGTCGAATAAAACTAATTTGCCAACCTCGTGTGGTTCAACAATTCAAATACATGTTGGAACATAAATGCTTTTCACAAATTATTTAACTCGAAAATTTAGCGGACATAAATATAAGAAAAGTATGTAAACTGCTTATAGTAAACGAACCAAACGCGTGCTTCCTGAACATGTCATACAGCTGCCTTGCAAGCTCCCGGGTTGGAGCAATAACAAGAGCAAGAATGGATCCACAACGAAGTGACTTTCGATCGCCGCTCGCCAGGATCTATATGAAGAAATCGAAGAAAAATAAGTAATTCTCGGTTGAAAAAAACAGAGAACAAATATAATTGCCAAGTTGCAGCCATATACGAAATATGGATTTGCATTCGCTAACTTGATGAAGGATAGGAAGCACGAAAGCAGCCGTTTTTCCTCCTCCAGTTTCTGCGTGGGCCATCACGTCATACCCGTCCAACACCTATGCAAACAATACAAAATATTCTACGTCAACAATTAATTCCACTCCATAGTAGCAACATACTAAAGGTATCGTTGCCGCTTGGATTGGCCGCACATGTTTATAATTGCACTTTTCAATACATGTCTTGACTAACTTGGGATTGAGTCCGCTGCTCTCCCATGAACTGAAATTGAACTTCTGAACCTGAATGTCGTTAATATTATTGTATTACTATTAATATTATTAATAGTAAGTCGCAATAAAATGTAAGCAAAATCTTTTTTCCCAAATTTTTTTTCCTAAAATCTTCCACAGCATCAATATACCATACAACATTTTACATTAATGGATGAATTCTCAAACGATAAACCGCCTGAACATCGGCTCATCAAATTGGTTTTGCGATATCCCAATGTCACGTTTTTGTTTTTCTAGAGCTCCAAATGTTTACAAAACATCCAAAATGACGAAACCACTTTCGAAGTTAAATAAAAAAAAATAGAAAACCACAAAAATACGTATATTCACCGGATACCCCAGTGGAAAAACCAAAAGTAAACGACCAAAACGACTTCGTGAAGGTCATTCACGATTTTTTTAAAACATTATGATCTGCGGAAAATCCTACAGTTTCTTCTGCGATAGCCGCTATTTCATGGAGACTGCAAAAACAGTAAAATTGGTCCGCGACTTAACATCCATGGCAATGTTGGTTTCTCGAGAACGTACAATAAATTCCCGGCAGCTAGAGGTCTTATAGATTGGAGAACAACAGAAGGTTAAACAAGAGACTTTTATCTAACTATATGTATATATGCTACTATTTGTTACATTTTCTACGGATCGAAGAAACGGTTTTCCTTTTTGGAATTCGACATGCTATTTCGTTGGCGAAGAATACAGCAACACCTGATCAAAACCCGAATACCTGAAGAACCATACAAACCCTACAATGAATAGCAGGGATGAATGCCCGGAGGTCATACGCGACCTGATCCCGTATGTTCGCATCGATTTTTGATGTGGGATGGTGCAGTCGTCAACCACATGCGACTATAATCAGCTGTTCTAAACTTCCTCATTGGAAGTCACGAAAAAGCGGTGGGTTTTTTCAAGAAGTTGTTGATTATGTAATTACCGGAGAGTTCTCGTCTTTTTGTAAATGTTATTGAAGCGTTTGGCCTAGTAGATTGTATAACAGTATACCCTTCCAGGCTCTGAAGAAGGCGATACTGCCGAAACGTCAGCCAGTGTTCTATTGTATTGTGTTTTTCTATGGAAGTAAATGTATGCTGTTTAAAAACCTCGCGATTGCTGAACAAAACGACGCATTCATACCTGATGAACCTTCCCCCATGTCTCATTAACACACTAGTTCGTCTCCTCACATGTCACTTCTCAGAAGGCAATGTTCTATTTAGTGGAAGACCAGGCAAACCATACTGATGGCCTGTCGTCTATAAACTCTTCAATTGAGTTATCCTTAACATAATTGATGGAACACTGGACGAAATACGGCAATGTAAGAAAGCAGGGTTTTGCAAGGAATTTAGTAAGATGTGTAAATTACAACATTTGAGAGACAGTTGGAGCACACATCCAGGTCTATCCTGTTGGAGTTCCTGTTACGACATGAGATTGCTTTAAAAGTCCACCTGACAATCTCCTACTTCACCGAAAACCCAAGGTTTGACCAATTTGTACAGATTAGGCTATTAATCGACTCTATCATTATCAACTGCAGCAGAATATACAATGCAGGAAAGTTTGCGTAGATCGACTTCCCTTGTAGCATTTCGAAGTAGAGTTGGCTTTCGCCAATAAATCCTACATAATTGGCAGAAGCACGGACTCTAATTATTCAAACTGTTCTGGAGAGTTGCCTACACCGAGTTTTGGTATATGTTGGTGATCTCTATGTAAATGAAGGTGTTGTATGTAGAAATTGTCAATTATATATATATTATATATACATGTAAGTATATATATATACAATATATATATATATATATATATAATATACATGTAATCAGATCTGACAAGTGTTTCTGAAGACGAATTGTTCTGAGGCATACTGATGAACAGTTAATAATTTGCAAAAACCGTTCCTCAGACGAGTTCCGTCTTCAAGCGGTGGGATTGTTGTTGCCGAGGAGGACATTATGGTATCTGCTACCGAAGAGACTGCTTGCATATGATAGCGTTCACACGACATTTTTCGAATTACGCACACAGAGTACAAGGAAATCAACGTGCTTCCACAACACCAATATGCTTAAATAAGGGCAACATGTATAGAAATGGCCAAAAACTGATTACCAAAACCTGAAAATGCAGAGTTTGCACCTGTAATGGAATTTTTTCACCACATATAGCAGTTATCATTTCCCAAAAATAGCCCAAAACACAAAGAAGAATGCAGAGGAAATCTAAGACTAGAAAAACGCCATTTTGCATAAACAACCAAGTAGTAACCTAGAATAATGAGAACATCGTTCGTTTCTCAAGCAAAGAAGCCAACCTAATTAGTGTGTAATTTTGCACTCCATCAACAGTTACACAGTCATCCTGCTCCTTATCGAGATATTCAGAGTTGGAAAAATCACGCTCAAATAGTGTCCCAATTGAAGTCTCTTCGGGTTCCCAATCCTTAGGAGCGCGTTTTTTCTCTGCAAAAACTGAGATTACATTTGAAATAATCACATATTTAACGTTTACCAACACGACGAAAGCCAACATTTTAAGAAACGGAAGTGAGTCAAAAGAGAAAAAAAGTAGCAACGCACTAAGCATTTTTCTTTATTCCACAACGTTTTAAAAACAGTAAAAATCCACTAAAATTCAACAATATTAGAACAAGGTTTAGAACTAGACTTAAAAAGGATACGAATGGGCTTGAAACTAAACCTGGCCGTAATTTTTATTACTAATTGAAAGCATAAGAAGAAATTTTTGTAACAACTTCAAAATCCCCAAGCGTTCAGCGTTTGATCCTAACATACTCAATCCTTTAAAAATAAAAAATACACGCTCAAATAATGCGGAGGAAATTGTAAAGAAATATGCAACTAAATACCAAACACACAAAATCACGTAGAAACCAACCACTTGTCTCGTTTCCGGCAGGAGCACCAAATTGGGGTACATTTCTCTGAAATCACTGCTATTGATACCACAATAAAAATGGGCTCCGAGAGAATATGCTTGAAGTCACGCTTGTATTATCAAAACATTCCGGAAACGCTTCATCATCTGATAAGCCTGATCTGCTTCGACGTTTAAAATTTGGTCCTGAATTCCTTCATTTCTAAACTCAAAACAAACCTGTGAACTGAAACTGCGTCCGAATTCTGATCGTCCTCCAAACGTGTTTCTACCACTGCTATCCCAATCATTAAAATGTTCTTGGTCATAACCTGTGAAATCCACAATTCAAAACCGTATCAGAAATGTTAAAGTCTGATTTATAAACGCTTAAAAACCAACGCCTAATTGTCGATGGTTGTCACGTGAGACGAAATAAAATTTTCGGTAGCATACGCGTACTTTTCAGTAACTACACTGTTACAGGATTTGACGATTTCAGAGGTTCTATGTAAAAGACTGTTCCCCACCGTCCAACTAGTGTGCAGAAATTTTCCGAAAAATTTTATTCTAACTCTAAACTTGTTCAAAATCCAATTACATAGAAAGATTTAGAGAGTGATCAACGAAATCTCTCTAGAAAGTGCGTATTCGAGGGAAACCACTGTGTTCCGCTCTACAAGTTCTCACTTGTTCAATCGTTTCCCTCTTTTATCCAATAATAATTTGATATAGTCCACTATAAGCTATGACTTATTTATAGTCAAAAGACCCAGCCGTTATAAAATTAAGACAATGTATGAGTGAAAAACAATTCACACTGGCCTCCTATACCCACTACATATTAGTTGAAATAAAAAATGACCGTTGTAAGCGCTAATTAAAAGCTGGAAAAGCAGTGTCTGCGTTAACAAAAGCAATTAGCGCGAATAAAGCCACGGAATACCAATAAGCAAGTTGAAAACAACTAACGTTGAGGTTGCCCAAAACGACTGTCCTCTTTACGTGAGTCGTTTCCAAACATGTCCCCTGAAAGTTTACTGTTTAGTTGCAAGAGGAACTCTGCATTTGTTAATTGAGCAAGAAAAAGTCTCAAACTGATTAACAAAAAAAGCGAATTACAAAAATGAACTGCTCACCACTTTTCCTAAAGGACTCGGGCGAAGTACTTCTTTTAAAGCCTCCTCTTTCCATAGGAGAGCACTGCTGACGTGTGCGACTGTATTCGATTCGTTGACCACCATAACTAGCTCGATCCTTACCTCCACGGTCCAAATTAAAGGCATTATTTTCATCATAGAAAGAGTCATGACGGTCATGACGAAGATTGTCGTTGACTCCAAATCCAGGGCGGCAGAAACCGCCAAATGTATTCGTGGCGGAACTTGCATCGACTTTCCGATATCCAAACTCTCTGCTACCGACAGCACTTCTAGCAGATTCATATCCATCTTTAGCAAAATTCTTATTCTCCATTGTGGGAACCAAGCCTCGTTGTTTTTCCTTGAATTCGAAACGATCATCATGTGTTGGGTAATGTTCACGATCAACACCATCTCGTCTAGTAGCGTTTCCGAAACTTCCTTCAGTGTAAAAACCACCACGTTTTTCTCTTAAAGGTGCATTTCCATTGTTGTGAAATCCTTCAAATTCATATCCGTACTCCACGTTACCGCGATTTCTCGTGCGAGATTCGCTGAATTGAACGAAACTTAGTGATAGTGCAAAAAATGAGAGAATATTGCTTCGCTACAATATCTTTTAACACAATCTCAACGATGGCTATAGTTTAGTTGTTGTACATTGGAAGTACACCTAGATTTCCACTATAAAATTAAACAAACATGCAACAACATCTAATTTTTAGAAACTGTTAAGTGGAACAAGGCCTGATACCTACGGTAACGAACTGGGAATGCCCTAGTACTGCCGTAGCAGTATTCTACCGAGGATCAACTCTAGGGCGTTTTTCGTGTGATGATTAGATTCGCCCATGAGCAGTAAAATATGTTGCCGTGGCACAAGAAGTAAAAGTAAATATGTAAAACGAGGATGTCTTAAACAAAAACTTTTGCCCATATAAACAGCACGTTAAGAGACTTGACCAAAGATACAAGTTACTCAACGAATAGCTTGAAAATTGCGCCGAACACGTCTCTGTATGATAAAGATATTTGGATCGCGTCTCTACCACCAGCAACGAGAAAAGGCGTTATTTGTTCGACAAAAGAGGAAAACTGAGGCTTGATTTTATTGTAATACGCCTAACAAGTCTGATTATAAATACCAGCATACTCTATAACGACCACCTTACAAAACAGACAGACGTGTTCGTGGCTTTCGAAGCACAGCTGTATCTGAACCCGAAATGAATTTATGGAGCACGGAATGGGGGTCTCGACCATGCTGTAACAGTGAGTATGGTCGAACATAACTACTACCATAGAGGGCAGAGCCAAAATATAGTTGAAAATATGTTGTAACTCGCACCATTTCTTAAGAACCGGACCACCGTCAAGGTATTTTTCCTCTGTGTATTTGTACGGAATTTCTACATTTCTGAAACACGTCTGCATCTTGTGTGTGATGAAAACAGCTCGTGTGTCACCCACTTGACAGATTAAACAACGGTGAGCAGTTTTAGGACGCAGAGCTACGTACTAATAGGCGGAGAGTTTTTAGGGCATCGACCAGTACCTATTACCTGATATATTGACCAACAGGATGCATTAGGCCAATATGCTCCACATAAGCACATTCATATGAGCGAACTTATTCAAACTACGAAATAAAGGTGGATATACATATGGAATTTCGGCACACACTGGTAGAAACCTGTCAGAATTGGTGCGATACAATTCGTGCTCGAAGTTTACAACAGAAATTGAAGAGAGGATATGAAAATCCAGAATCAGAGCGGTGAGATGCCACTAAGATATAAAACTAAAACAGATATTATTGTACGCGTTGAGCGAGGCGACTTTTACACCAAATCAACCCAATGTTACACCCATGGAAAACGGTTTGTTGGGCAATGAGAAAAGCCACAAATGCTGTGTCCGCCTTCACTTCTTATTCTAGGCATATGCAGATCTTGTTCACACTCGCCCACTCAGAACTACATGATGCATGGAGGATCCCTTTTGAGAATGTATAAAAATATTTTTCAATTGCAGGGTATTTTTATGGCATGAAAAAAAAGGCTGCAGCTTCAGCTTCACTGGGTTCAATGCTTATTTGTGCTCTTGAAATCATTTCCGTTGAAAGATGATTGCTGATGGCACTGATTAATAGAACTAGATGAGAGAAAGGCAAGACAAAGACCTCGGTGGTGAAGTGGATAGTGAGTCCAAGAAAGAGGTGAGCGTGGGTTTTAAGCAGGCCTGAGGCCCAAGTTTTGCAAATATCTCAGCACCAGAGTATACCAAGAGTCAAAACTCTAAATCTATTCAAATATTACTCAAACCAGTAAATGTTATCCTTAAGTCCTCGCAACACGTGAGCAGACCACATCTAGTTTTAAAAAACCACGCAGTTACACAATGGCGATGTGGGAAGCAAAAACCGAAAACTTTAGAAATAGCCCCTTGAGTGGAAACTTAGAGAAGACTTAGAAGAGTCTGACTTAGAAGAGACGTGGAAACTTTCGAGAACTAAAAGATGAGAACCTGTAATGTTTTCAAAAACATACTAACAGCATACGACTTGATAAACTTCACGTAAAAATTCCCGAGACCGACTCTCTGTCAACCTCGGCATTGATTGATAATTCGATGTTCCCACTGTCGGATAGTTATCGCCCATGTATTAATCTGTGCTGCTGCTATCCATCAACTAACTTAGATAGTTACAATAAGTAAACGGCTCTGATGAAGGTGAAACCACCGAAACGTCAGCTGTTATATCCTAATAAATTCTATAATAACAACCTTGTGTCTGCTTATTAAAGAAAAACATCGACTTGATAAACATTCGCACTATACACCTAATCTTTTCAACATTCAGTAATTTCGAGATGCTGAATATATATTCAGATAACAGCACACATCTACACCACAAGTATTGACCCTCAATGGTTTGTCACCTTGCTGTACCCACAGAATTTCTCTAAATATCGAACTTCAATGCCCAAATGCAGCACAGAACTTTCAGCACTTCTTTGACTAGGGACAGATACTGTTACTCTATCTGCACAATAAGCAGTGAAATCCATGATGATGACGAACAAAATCGACGATAAACTGCTCTTCCACAACTTAAGAACAGAAAAAAAGAATTTGTCAGACCACACCGATAAAAAACTTCGCCGTTAGGAAACTAATCATTTGATTCCGAAAGCGACATAAAAAAATCAGTGCAGCAAAAGAGGCAGGCGAAAGCAATGTGCTCTAAAGTAAGCTATAACGTTGAAAGTGTGTTAAACCACGATACGCCACCACAAGTAAACCCCAAGTTCTCTCAAGCGAAAATGGAAAAACTATGTGTAGAAAAAACTTACTTTAATTCTCTCCCATGACGTGTTTCTTTTGGCTGACACCTTCGCAGAGATTCATCGCGACTGTCATGTGTGTTGTAGCGCGGCGCTAGAAAAAACCCGCGAAATAATTCACTGTCACTTGCCCAGTGGATGAATTAGTTTGAATTAAGGAGCAACGAACTATTAGAAAAAGTTTCCTCATTCAACATTAGTGAAAAGATTAAATGAAGAAGACATAAACTATTAAATTAGCAACAGAACTCGTATCGTTAGTCCATCCCTCCTCACTGTCACTTCTCCTGCATTGACCAAACTCCACATGTCTTCCAGATTTCTAGGCGGGATAGATGAATCCACAAAAGTCAAAACAACGTTAAACCCTAGCAAGGTCTCACTGTCGTTCTAGGTAATGAAAAACATGCAAAGAAATAAAAAGTTAACGTTTTAAAAATAAAAATTACGGTTCTGCGATCTCTTTCAACATCCGCGTTAGAGAAGCCGAATTGTTGACGACGGTCTAAAATGTGAAAAGATCCAGACGATTTTTAATCCTTTTGAAACCGTTTTATATAACCTCCTTCAAAAATTCCCAGTTCATTAACGCAATAATTGCACACCATTCTAGTTAGGACTAAGCTTCAATATCGCAATCACTACCTACAAAATGCCACTGGAAATGAAGAACTCCCCGCTTTTCTATACTTCGAACTACTAATTTAGCAATGCGTTAACTTAGCAACCAAGACAAAACGTTAGCACACCTCGATCACAATGTTGTGAGAATCGATCGTTAAACCGTCTACCATCACGATGTTCGCTAACCTCTCTACCTGAGAATCCCCAAATACTTTGCACCCTTCATGATATTCACACGATGACATACCAACAAAAGTAAAGTATAAAGTTTGCGGTGGAAACTCTTTTGCAATATTCTCAATGAGATCAAAACCTTCAGAAAAAAACCTGTTAGATTCACAAACCTTCATTATTTCTTAGTGCGTCCGAAAACCCTGAACCTGCAGCACGCCTGCTGAAATGTGAGCACTTTTGCATTGCTCAGTACAAAGCGTCATATCAGTAAAAGAAAACATACGAGTCATATTTGGCTAATACTGAGTAAAGAAATTAACTTTATAACTGCACACAAATATCTCTGTCTACTGTTTGCCCTACTATGAAAAGAGTTTTCAGATCTTCATGGGAAGATTTCTTTTACTCCATTTGAATACAAAAACGGCTAGAGAGGCCATTTCCAGCAGAACCCCATGATGTCGTCGAATGCACCACTGACATTCCCAACCACAAAGCATGATTTCTTTCAAAACTTAAAGGACCGAATTTCTTGACAACTCGGATTCCGAACAAATCGAAAAGTAACATTTGAAGAGAGATAAACAACATTTACAGACTTCTACACATCATTGTGAAGCGCATTTCATCCAGTTGCCTCCCTATAATTGAATCATAGTACAAATTGCATTCTTGAACACTTTTTAAAATTCGAACTACAAATGTTAAAACAAAAATTTCGGAAAATTTGTTTCTATGAACTCGAACTCCGAACCCTTGAAAAAAGAAAAACTCCAAACCCTAAAGGATGCATTGGACGAAGGATGTTTTAACGATCGTTCTAAAAATTTCGTCACGGCGAATTCGACTTAGAAGATGAGTGAGGTCACATACGTCCTTTGCTTTTAACGACGATGAGTTGAAAATTTTGGTGAGAACAGATATATGGGCAATGTTCGAGATCTTGAAAAAGAATTTTGTGTGGACATCCCAGTTGTTATAGAGTATTTGAAAAAGATTTTAAAGGAGAGATAACGTCGACATGGGGATGGTATTCGCCTTCAATGATTCTTCTCCATGATAATGTGCGTCCACACGTCGGTCGCACTACTGACACTTGAAAGGTTGAACCAGCTCAGCGACGAAAATGTACCATGCTCTGCGGACCTCTCGTCTACCCATTACTATTTTTTCAGCCTCTCGACAACAATATATGAGAAATGTTTCAGGAATGAAGCCCAAACGAAAACTGCCCGAAATGACTTCGCAGCTCTCGTTGGCATCAGCTTGTATATCCTAATGCTTTTATTTCGATCACTAATGTTCATTCCAAACTGGATATGCCACTTCAAAGATAAAAGGAAAAGGATAAATCATTCAACTACGACCATTACCAAGCATTCTAAGAGGTGACTGAACGCCTATTAGACCTATACAGTGACTTGCGGTGGCCTGCCGAAGTACCAAGTCAGTGCTGCTATCCTACCAAACACGTGTAGCACCAATCTGTAGACCGCGGATATAAGAGCCTTTGTGAGTCCGTGAGACCGAATCAACGACTACTTGTGTATTACAGGGAATCTACAACTGCGCTACACACCTCTCACTTTAACTGTAAGCACCTCAACTGTTTTGGGATACCTAACGAAAAATTTGAAGCCAGGAAAGCCCCACAAATTGATAAGGCACGAATTAAATGACAATGGAAGAAATCGTCGCTCTGAGGTAACATTGGGGTTTCTGTGCAAATATAACGATGTTTCTCGTCCCTGTTATAATGTTCAGTGAGAAATGGATCCTCTTTGATAACAAGCAACGATCGGCTCAATTGCTCGAGCGCGATGAAGCTACGGAACACTTCCCAAACCCGAAATCACACTAAAGGTCATTCTGACCACTCGCTGGTTTGATCGACAACGTCCCTAAATCTGGCTAAAACGATTAGGCAGAGAAGTACATCCAGTAAGTCGACGCAATGCGCCACTTAACAGTTGTGTTCCGGATTTGTCAATAGCAGGATACACTCAAGAAAACGAGCGGCACAGACCGAACTAGAGACGATGCAAAACTCGATCAGACTGCGATATGCCCCAACGCCCATCATTAACATTACTAGATCGACTTCTCGCCTACCCACTATTACTTCTTCAGGAATCTTGATACCTCGCTCTACGAAAAATAATTCAGGTGACTCTGAAACTGCATTCGGTTTCATTGCTCTTAGAATTCCGGAATTTTACGCAATAAACTTGCCTCTCGTTGTTTTAATGACTGTATTTCGATTAATGAAGTTCCTCAGCTAAGATATGCTATTCCGAAAAACACGTTGAAATCGAAAATTAAGTTCTGGAACCAAAAAGACTATAGGGTGTCAGTGGCGCAACAGTGAGATCACCGAACTTCTCCACCGATAGTCTTCTCCATATGAATCCAAGTGGGGGCCTTCTAATATTAGAATGGAAAACATTCCTATGACATGAAGATTTCACTGTTGACTGGGAACATTTAAACACGATTATTGAAATAGAAGCATACAAGACGGTTTTAAACTCTGTGGGTTTCCAAAGTTTAAAATTTATTTGTAATTCACTTTACTCGTTATTTACTACTTTTAGTTATTTTCAATTCTAATATTTACACTATTCATCACTATTTATTCACTAATTTACAATATCTTGAAATTCACATTTAAATTTTAAACTTTTAGAACTATAGACTTTTAGCAGACTTACGACCTAACAAACTTTTCGAGAGCTATTAGGGAATAACTAAAGATATCATAACATACCTATGCGTAGGTCCTCCTCCACCTGAGCTGTGCTCGCCTAAACACAGTGCTTATTGGCACAATAACACTCGAAAACACTTGCGCACATAAAAGCCATACCATTCAGCACCTTGAATGAAAGCATTACCTCGAGAACTCGGATCGATTCTTTGTCCAAATGCAGGTACAGGATTCAGGTCTGCTTTATCTCCGAAGCCCATTGCGAAACGAAAACGAAGAATTGAAAAAAGAAAATAAAGAGAAACTTTATTAAACGTAACATTCAGACCAACCAAGAGATACGATTGATTTCATGACAGAAACATTTTGCTGAAATGAAAACTGCAAACAAATTACGAATTTTTTTCTCATCCGATAATGAAGCTGAACTATCTGTAGTACTTGTCCTTGTACGACAACATACTCCTTACACAAATCAACCATACGAATATAAAACGTTATGTACAAAATTGTGGTTACACATCCACTAAATCCACATCAAACGTGGTTGTCTAGAGTTAACAATCCCCACAGAGGAACGAGGCTTTACAAACTGTTTGCACATCTTAATAAAAGATAACTGTTACCATCCAAAAATGTTGCGTAAAGTATAAAGATATCTATATTTTATAAATACAAAATAAAATTTGAAGGTCATAAAAATACAACACTCCACAATCCTTTCCTTGAAGAAAATCACATAAAACAGCACAATAATCCTTTCCTAAGCAAATCTTACTCCAGTTTACTAGTTTTCAGAACTTCGACTGTGCTCAGCTTCATTTGCGTTTTTGCTTCTAAATGGAGTAGTAACTTTCGGATCTACATTAGGTATATCAAGCAGATCATCTTTTCGGCCATTCGATGACTGTTGCGCACACTCTTCTTCACATGTGGTGAATTCACTGCTTCTTGGACTCTATTGCATGGCAAGAATGAAAAAACAAAAGTATAATTGAAAGATATCCCTAGATTACACTACCTGAGGCGTGATTGGTGCATCGAGAGAGTCAATCTTCTTATCCAACGTTTCAAATTCACACTCTTTTTTCAATATATTAACGATAGACGCTATCTGAGCTGCAGAAAGCTTCACATCTCCGTGCTTCTCAAGTAGAGAAATCACCTAAAGAAATAATTCAATAAAGATTTAATTTAAAGAATTAGGATAATATCCTGCTGAAGAAACAGGATAGAGACCTACTAAAGGAAATAAAACTTGTTTCATAAATAAAAATATGCTAAGGCAATTTCTAAATACATGTCGCGCAAGCGCGTTTGGAGCAGTAGTCGGATGCGCCCTGCAACAAAAACATGGGATCTATCCCGCGCCCACGGCCCACCAAGCCTTCCATCCCTCCGGAGTCGGCAAATTGGGACCACAGCTGCATGGAAGGGACAGCAGCGCTGGCTCGATTTATCGGTGGACCACCGCGAGCCATTTTAAAGACCAGATATACGTTCATTCACCTCCAACGATGCTTAATGAAGTTGAATGTACGGGGCAATCCTCAGGAATTGATCGATGCCAAGAGCCTTATCCTTTTTTTTATCCTTTGTCTGTATTAGTTTTCATGGTTGTTGATTTTGATTGAATTTATGGAATCAAGTTTCCACTTAATCTCTGTCAGCTGTTGTGGTCATATAAAGACGGTGAAAGAATTAAACACGAACAACAGAACAGTTCTAAAAATATGTTTTCGGAAACTAGCAAAAAAAGATTACGTGATCATTTTAAAGCCAAACTATGCTTCAAAAACCCACCTCCAACATGAGATCACCATCAATAAAGCCGTCAGCATCATGATCAATGCTCAAAAGAAGTTGCTCAACTCGAGAACGCCTTTCGTCGATTTCTTTAGAAGACTCGCCATCAGCGAGACTTGACTGCAGTTTCGTTAGAGAATCAATCAAGTCTTGAACACGTACCTTTCTGTCCCTGAAACATTGAAGTCATCACTGAAAACAAATTTTTATACCTTGGACCTTCTAGTAGAATTACAATCACAAAAAAGGCTAGATACAGAAAACCTCTCTAGCTAAAACAAACGACCCAGAGTATTTATTCTTTCTGTATTTTTACTGATGAAGACTCCCAAGCTTAAACGATTAGGGTTCAGCTTCTAGAACGAAATGAAATTTTACATTACCATGAAAAACTCGGCTGATAACTATAAATGTCACCAAATGTGCCAATACGTGACGCCTAAAATGCAATGAGTTCCAATCATTCCATAGGAAAATGATGACCGCTTCCAAATAGCAACTAACATCTCATTTCATAATAAACTTTACTAGTTGGAATAAAAACTATTGCATTATATAGGTGCTTGCCTAATACAACAGACATTCTCTTCTACTTGAATGAAATTCTGATCATCAGGAGTCCATTGCACATTTTTGCTTCGATTTTTCCGCCAAGGCCCCTATTCTAAATATGAAAGGAAACAAGCAAGCGGAATTTTGTGCAGATACGCTGGTGTCTCCAAATGCTCTCGACTTTGCCTTGGAAGCTTAGCTTTCGGCTTAAATTTCTGAAAACTCCCTACCCTAAACATCCAAAATTTCCAATAAAAAATACGTAAATGAATAAGACGATCCCATACATCTTTTTTCAAAACTCCTCAAATGCTCTAGTAATCAAGAAATCACTTTCGAAAAACCGGCTCCGAGCGTTGAGGTCAGAAAAATGCTACATTTCCGGATTATTAGCATACTTTTGCAGTTCCAAGAAAGATCTGAATAACCAAACATAACTACTGTTCAACTGCTAAATCAGCACTTGCAAATACGAAACAATAAAAATTGCACCACAACAGTGAACATTAATCATTTCGTGGAACTATAATTACACCTTCTGGATAGTCTCCATCTTCAGACTTATTAGGGTGATCTGACCTATTGCTTATTTACTACTTTAAATGGAAAGATATGCATTTTAACGTCTGCACACTGCACTAGCCCTTCAACTTCGAAATTCGAGAACGAAGTTGTGGTGAAATCGTTTCAAAGCCATTAATAGTTCGCGAATTTTTGCACTTGCAGTGGTAAATTCCGTTTAGCTGTCCCACTCAACCTGAAGCCAGTTTTTTTTTCTGAGTTCTTATCTATCTACGACAATGACTCTGCAGAAAAGTTTCGTAACAAAGTTTTTCTCGGCCGACAATTGATCCAAAACGTGGTGAAGAGGCTATCAGTTGGAAACAATATGAAGCAGGAAATCTCTATGGGGTAAAATAAGCGGCTGGAAAGAAAATAAGTGGATATTAGTTCAAATTGACCAGCTCGGCCACTCTCTGTACATATGAGCAAATTCACCTACATTGGATTACAAACTAGAACATCGTCAGAACCTGACTATTGTCGATCACCTTTTTGCAGCAACACTATCGCCCATGGCAGGATCAACAACCGTTTCCTCAACCATCCTCTTCTCCTCTTCGAGTTTAGAAACAAGACTGTCCACGCTATCTATCATGGTATTCAACTTTGTGCGAAGTCGCTGAGCAACCTTCGTTTCTGAGAATGCACTGTCAAGTGCAGTGATTTCAACCAGATCCTATAAGAATGTCAGAGTTTTAGCAAAAATGATACGTGTGAAACTGAACACTGAGAACTAATAGGACAACAAGACTACCCTTTAAAAAGCAGGAATCTATATAGGGCGTTGCGAGAATACCGAAAAACCTACTTCAGAATGTTCGATGGCTTTTTCCTTAAGATCAAGTAAGTCATGTTTAGCCTCGTGAATAGGACCGCCCACTAGTATCTGCTCAATCGAAGATAGATCTTTAGGGTCGACCTTCAAACAAATAGTCTTGTGCGAAATCGAAACACTTCATGAAAGCACTACATGAAAAAGGTAACAACTGTCAAACACTTGAATGATAATACACGATCTGATAATACCGTTGTACCGTCATCCAACTTTGACTTCTCGATAGTGCTAGCAACGCTGACTGATTCATTAACTGCACTCTCGAGATCCTTCTGAAAATAGAACGATAGAAAGTTGAATAAGATGTAACTAAACACGTTAACACATTCTAATAAGAAATTTTAAAAGAAAAACTAAGATCTTAAGTATTTGAAAAATCGGAAGCTCTAGAAGAGAATTAAAACATCGACATGCTCGCTTTCATGGATACGTACGCACTTGGAGGCACAAACACATCTTTCGGAACCCACATCTAGTACTTTAACTAATTAGTTTCGCATTCGAATTTTCCCAGTAAATCCTAACAGCACATGAAGTAACACTGAAATTTCGAAAACAAATTAATCCCGTCGTGCTTTCCCAAGAATATGAATAGAACATTCTGAATTTACAGAAAATTTACTTTGATTTAGCGACAAATTCTATAACATAAAAGTCAATTACAGGCGCACAAAATTTTCGAAAACATCTGAGAACTTGAATTTTGCATTTTCGCTTTTATTTATTTATTACATGACCTGACACCACATGCATCACACTGTGCATTGTGTCGATCCAAACATTTCCTTCATTCGATTCATTTCATCGCATCCACCACCCACGAATGTCCTCGTACTTTTCGAATGTGGTTTCGGCTGCTGCTCGGGGGTTTCTTTGTCCCCATCACGAGTGTCGCTGAACGCTGGTCGAGTCGAATACATCTGGCTACTGAGATAGCGTCTTTTGGTGTTTTCACATGGATTATTGAGAGTTAGCTTGTCCCAGGTAAGTCTGATTCTAATGTAGGGATGAGAGGCTTAGTGCGGAAAAGAGGTCGAACTTGTGCCTGGGTATCTTCGGCCGTCCGCTTACTGAAGAGCATCGCTACCACTGAGATACCCTCTCATTAATTTCTGCGAATTGTGTTAAACACAATGAAAGTGAAACAATGACCTTCATAGCATCAATTACTGTTGCTCTTATGGTTGCCACTTCAGGAATTTTACCAGTGGAAGTTGCAACTGACGTCCTTTCTGCAGTTGGAGCTTCTCGCATCTTCTCCATCTCTGCTTCTTGTTGCAGAAACCTTTGTTTCTGAATTTATTCAAAATTTTCCTTTCAACGAATGCAACCAAACGAATAAAATGGGTTAATTCACACTAATCATGAGAAAACAGACTAGTGTTACCTCTTCCTCGCGCTTTTTCTCCATCTCTATAGCCTTCTCCTTTTCTATCGCTTCTTCAATTTGCCTAATGAGATTAAGTCTCTCCTTATGATCCACTTGACCACCCTCCATTTCGGTTAACTTCTGACGAGTGCTCTCAGCGATACCTTCAGAATCCATAGTTACTATTGAATAGGGAAACAAATGGATTAGTAATGAAGAATAAAAACTGAGAGATCGAAAATTCTAATTATTTCTTTAACTATATGTGATACAACTTTTTCAAGAACTGGAATAGCTCAGGATTATATCTACGGAGAGTTTTCTTTAACCAAAATATAAAAACATCAGTAAAAAGAGGAATTTAAAACCTTCATTGCAAACATTGCACCGGCCAATATCATTGGCGTATTTGGACACCATCCTGCCCTCAAGGACAAAATCTTGCTCCTTCAATCGTTGTGTTGTTCAAAATTAAAAAGGGAATAAAAAGAACAGGCATTGTTGGAAAATATGGTGTTAACACTAGTATTTAGTTAACTGAACTAGCACACGTAGTTCAGTGGCTAGAGGTCCTCTAGGATGCATATGATCGTTTGATCGATACCACACGCCGAGAAAATCAAGCGATTAATCCACCCTGCGTCGACCAACAGGTTCCAAACTTGTTTTGGAGGACTGCATGGTGCACGTCTACGGTGCAGATCAGTATCACACTCTTCAGTCCTCCAACTCGGAAATGTTCACTATGAACCAAGAGATGCTTGCTAAAACTGAGAAGGTATGTTGTTTTCGAGCAAATATGTGTTGAAACCAAAAAATCTCGAGACAAAAATAGCAAAGAATTTAAGCAGAGTAAAATAATCCTTTCACAATAGAAGATCGATAACTTTTAAAAGAAGAATGGTCTGATTTCGCAACAATTTTCTCTACCAATTTATCTCTTTTGCAGTCTCACGTAACTGCGAATAAAACATGCCTTCTGGAAGATTTTGTACCAGAGCTTTCAATCTGTCTGTAAAAGAAATGTCCTCTGGTAAGTAGAGAGCTCTCGAAAGAAGTAGTAGAGACGGTGGTACTTTATCACTGAGCGACAATTCGAGCCACTGTTTCAGCTGCAATAAATGCTTCATTATCTTGTTTGTGAGTCATTCGTTAACTTTCCCATACGAGAATTGTATAAATTAGTACTGGAGATTTCTAAGCAAAAAGCAAATCTGCATTATTATTATTGCTCTTATTATCAATTTGATTTGATTCGTCTTCACTTCGACTGTGTGAATCCCAGTACTTCCCACATTCGGTTCAATTTCTCGCTTCCACTGTCCACGAAGATCTTCCAACTTTTACGTGTGGCTTCGGTTGCCGCTTGAGGATTTTCATTTCATTTTGTATGTCGTAGAATATTGGTCGAGCAATTCTCCCTGGAGTCCTGAGATAGCCGGGTTGGAGCGATCTGATTGGATTGCTTGGATTGCAAAGAGTGTTTCCTTCCCAGACAAGTCCGGTACCAATTTCCCCACCCCGGAGGGATGAGAGGCTTGGTTGAACCGGACCGGAATTGAACTAGCACCGTGCTTGTGATGACGGACCTCACTACCACTGTGCTATCCCCCTTTACTATTATTATTATTACTGTTACTAACTCTATTATTATTATTATTTTTACTATTATTATTATCATTATTACTATTGTTATCACACTATTATTATCATTATTATTACTGTTACTATTATCAATATTATTATTATTATTATTATTATTATTATTATTATTATTATTATTATTACTAGCAACGATGAGACCAAATCAGAAAGTATTACTTTCTGAATACTTTGAGCACATAATAAAGAAGCAATGTAAAACAAGTTTTTTCAAACAGAAATGCACAAACAAGCGTGCATTTCACCGTAGCGAACGTTCACTTAAACGACAAAAGTAGTACGATAGAGTTCAGTTTCCCATCTTTTCCACTTTGTTCTTTTATATTTTTTTAAAGGAAATTATAGTTTTACAACAATGTTCATAATTCAGAAAAAATCAAAAGGCGTAACAACAAATATCACTTTGTAATAGTGAGAAAAGCATTTTTTCTATACGGCCACTAAGTGAGAAGCAAAGCTGAAGGCAGATATAATTCCAATAGTAATAATAACAATAACAATCGCATTTTTGAATAAGTACAACAAAATAATTGCTTGTATCCAGCACTTTCTGTTGGTAAATTCTGAAAGTTTCAGCAAGATAAAAACGACACCACATTAGTTTGTAGAAGAGACGATTATGAACTGATTAAGTGACTGACAATGGATAAAATGTATTGGTACAGAGCTTACTTGATATCGTAATCTATCCTCACTTAGTCCAATAGCTCGCATTCCTCTAGCACGACATGCCTGTTGCAAGTCAATTGTGCTCAAAGCATCGACACCCCCTTCCGCCGCTATTTGCTGAACACGAGGTAGAACGCGATACAAAAAAAAAGATTGTTTGACAAACTTTTACAAACATATCTCTATAACTGAATAAGCGCATACCTTATCATCAGTCCTCAACTCCCGCAATTTCAACTTCAGCTGAAAACGGAGGATCTCTGGACTACCAAAGGGTTGAATGTTCATCAGACGACACAATGACCTTAACATAAAAGATATAAGATATATGCTTCGTGTAGCTCATTTCCTTATGGACTCCACTCGACATCATTAAGCATATACAATGACTTGACGTGAACCCATTGACACGTCATTTTTATCACTCCAAACAAGTCTAGTGTCAATTTCCAAACTCCTAGGGAACCTGGAACATGATTTCCAGTGAAAGGATATTAAGACAAGGACCATGTGTGTATTCTAATGCACCTCGAATTAACCATTAGGCCACAAACATCCTTACGCTGACATAGTATAGACGAAAAAAGAAATGCGATTTTTCTACACTATATCGAATTCACCACTTACACTCTTTGATGTATATCTATTTTTCTTGATAACCACGAAAACGGTTGCTATCATATACCGTTTCTTCACAAGAGCTAACGCTTCGACTGATTTCGCCTTCTTCAGAGCCTGGAAAGGCCAAGTTAACTGGAATCTACTCTGGTCAACACCTCCATAACTCCAACAGAAAACCACGATACCCAATTTTCAATCATATTGAAACAAAACAGCTTCTTCACACACTCGCTTTTTTCACCAATCATGTGAACATATTACCGATAAATTCCAGGAATCCAGTAACCCACAGGATTGCCTCATTTTTACGCAAGATCACACAATGTCTCAGACCGACATTTTAACGTGAAAGGGGCTCATCACCCATTAATGTGGGCTTTGCACGGTTTGTCTCCACAAGGATACTCAGTGGAAAATGTATAGAAAACAATGAGTGTATGAAGCTGTTCTATTTCAGTAAGGTTGAAATCTGGTTTCGTCGTTTTTCTGTTGGAGTCATGAAAGTGGATTGCAGTTAACTTAACGTTTCCAGCCTCTGAAGAAAGCGAAATCCGTTGAAACGTTAACAGTTATGGATAAATAATAAAAATTAACAACCTCATGTGTACTTAACATGAAAATCGAGAATTATTTACCAAAGCTAAAGTTGACAGAAAGTAGGTCTTGGTCTTGGGAATTCCTCTTTGATATATTAGGCTGCACGAAAGTTAAAACAGGATTTGTACTTTTTTTTAACAGCAATTTTCTTAATGCTGTCCTACCACAGGTTATTCCAAATTTCATCGCGCTCACCAGAAATTCCAAAGATTTGAACTTCCGATGTCAAAACAGCAACTTCGTCAGACGAACTTTTACGAATTCAAGCTCTTGATACAACACAAACGGATCGAAACATCACCGAGATACTCAGCCAAAACAGTGGTTTCCAAAAGCTTGTCGTGACGAAGTGGACCTTGAAGATGAGAAAAGTCGCAGAAATTCTTCCGCTATTGACCACGATGAACTCAAGGCTTTGGTGGAAGCAACTACACGCACCACTGTTAATTAAAAGCGACTGAATGTCTATCTGGCCTGTACAATGTCTTAAAGAGGCCAACCGATGTAGCAATTTAATGGCGATATCGGGCCAAAGACCATGTGTGTATTACAAATCAACACTAATACTACGCCATATGCTCTCCATTTAAAGTGCACAGGTTGAAATCCACAACCACATTCCGAACCACCTGATACATTGTGAACTCAGTCCTGTTTTCAGCAACCAGTAACACTACAAGTTCTTCCCAACAATTTACTGGATTAAAAGTAGAAATCGAGCTGAGCAAAATACTTTTCAACGTAGTAGTACATAGGTCCTCTCAACGGTTTACCGCCTCATCGTGGCTGGGAGGTATTTCTGGGTGTCGGACTGTGATGTACAGCGGCGGGATTCGTCCCTCCGGCAGGATCTCCCAAGCTGAAAAGGAGTCCGGCGTTTCCATCAGGAAGCCTAGCTAGGAGTAAAGCAGTACCAGAATCCATCACCGTCCTGGTATCAAAATCGCACGGTGGTAAATATCCCTCCGATCTATCCGCTGTGACTGGCTGTCGTGGTGACGACCTGGGACAGACTTTGGCCAGGCTGTCCTCGTGATTCCAGGGAACCACAATGGCTTAACCAGCAAATCTCCGAAAAACGGTGACTATGCTGAGGGCCGCACGACTAGTGAAGACGGGCCTTTCAAGTAAGTAAGTAAGTAAATACATAAGCATACCTTTCTTAAATCTCTCCGTTGCTTTATCATTCCTAGATTCAGCCCATGAAAATTTATATCCACTACATCGTAGAAAAAATCCAAATGCAAATACATTAAACTGGTACACCGTGAACATTAACAACACAATGTTAACCTTCTATTTGCTGTCTACTGTAATTTTTCACGGCAGGGTATGATGTGAAATACAACTACAACGATGCTGAGATATTCGCAAAACTTGGACACTTAGCCAGATCCAACCACGACTACCCTTTCCGGGAGCTTGCGCATTACACAGCGCACCACTGAGGCCCTTTCTCTCGGCTAGTTTTCCACGTAACGCTGCCATCAAAAATAACCCGTCAGCGCTATTTCCCCGGAAAGCATAACCGTGGTTCGATGTGGCTCGTGGTCCAAGTTTTGCGAATATCTCACCAACGTTGTAGTAGTAACAACATAACTGTAAAACATTCTAAGCAGTGAAAGTTACATATATTTAAAAAGTTACTATTTGCAATGAAAGCGTAGTATTCTGTGGAGAGAAGACTTAGATATGCACATGTTCACTTAATTTACGGCATGACAGATATCACGGTGAAAACTAGGCAAATCTTCAGATTTAATGTCGCTGCAGCTACAATTTCTTAAAAACAATGTTTCCCCGTTTTCAACCTCTCCCAAACTTTTGTTATCAAGACAAAATAATATTATATGCAATACCTCTACTCCGTTTTCTCAGAAAACAATAAAACGTAATAAAAGGATAAAAAAAGGGTAAAGCTCTTGGCGTTGATTAATCCGTGAGGGCTAAGCAATGCATTCGAATTCACTTAGCACTGATGGAGGTGATTGGGTTCATATCTGGCCTTTGCAATGACTCGTGATGGCCTACCGATTTATCAAGCCAGTGCTGCTATCCTCCAAGACAGGTCTGCTACTAATTTGCCGACCCCGGCGGGGCGCTGCCGACCACTGCACTACATGTGCCATACAACGCAATATGGTGAATCTAGTACCACCACGACTATATATTACTAACCGTAATTGACTCATGCTGAGGTTGTCCAATGTTAGCTCATCTTCGAATAGCTTCGAAAACTTGAAAAGTTCCTCATTTGTCACATATCCACCTTCAAATCGAACCTAAGCTACCATATTACGATCAAAACACACAGAAACTGTTGTATATCAGATTAGGAAAGAGCCAAAATTTAGGGAAGTAAGAGCACACCTTCTTAATGAACTGAGCAAATTCAACAGCCTTCGAACCATGCGATTCTATAGCCTTTGATCGACGCTCAAGCGCGATCTCCTCTATGGTATCTTGAAGAAATTTTGCCATTTCCACTTTGACTTTCACTTGTTTTCGAAGCCTTTCTTCCTGAAAGCTCAACAAAATAGCGACGGAAAGCAGAAGCAAAATAATTTGGTATAAAACATTTGCAAAAAGGCTACATTATGATGCCACTTCAATGGCACAAAAGGGCAATGGTCACCTGCTTACTGCTTTCCTGAAAAGTGCTAGGCAGCATGTTCGGAAACAGCTTGATAAAGATGGGAAGAGCTAGCTCCATAAATGGTACTATAATGAATATAGAAAACGGCACTAACCGAAACAGATCAGAAACCGTACGAACCTGAAAGAATGGATCAAAACTGTACAGACGTGTGAAAGCTTCCATACGGATCAATGGAGCAAATAAAACGATGCGGACTTTACACAAACAGGTAGTGGGTCCAACTTATGCAAAAAAATGAGCCTCTACTTTAAAGGCCTTAGAATCTAGCTTAGTAATCTTGCGAAACAAAAATAAACCTACGTCCTACCTGTTATTTACGCAAGTTTCTAGCTATCTTCCCACTTGGATACTTGGATGGCCCGACCTCACTGGTCGCGCGCGTCCCAACATAATTTCCATTTTTTCGGAGTTCTGCTGGTTAAGCCATTGTGGTTCCCTGGAATCCTGAGCTCAGTCTGGCCAAAGTCTACCACAGGCCGTCACCTCCTCAGGCAGTATTTGCCCCTATGGATCAGAGGGAGATTTGCCACCATGCGACTATATTGATACCAGGACGATGGTGGATCCTTGCATTGGTTTACTCTTATCTAGGCTTCCTGATGGAAACGCCGGACTCCTCAGCTTGGGATACCCTGCCCTGGGGGACGAATCCCCTCGCTGTACGTCGCAGCCTGACACCCAGAAACACCTCCTAGCCACGATAAGGCGGTAAACCGTTAGGAGGTCAGCTATTTTCTACACAAAAAAAAACACACGCACTATCGACGTTTTACAATTTCACTCGAAACACATCCAGACAATAACAGTGAAAAACAACCAACTAGTTGCTGTCGTTCTCTCCTCGAAAGAGTATCACCACGAAGAACTCGCCACATGTACTTGGCACTTAGTCTAGTTTCAAGGGCTAACAAACGGAATCCATGATAGTAATGTTTAATCTCGTGAACGATTCTCTGCAGCATCGTCGATCCACTCACAGTTGCAGGAGTCTGGACCTAAATTCCGCGGAATACATTTCAAAGATTCTTGTCCACAACCGTCACTGATGATCCAATTGCCAAAGGTAAGAGAACTTCATATCCTGAAAAAAGAAGCCACATCTGATTACTAAATACACGGTACTAGTTTTCGTCTCCGGAGTTCCTCGTCTTGGCGCATTAGATCCTCCTTCAACATCTTCAGAGTGTACTCGACTTTACTGCGATCAGTGGCTGCATGTCGTAAACTTATTTGAATAAGACGTTTGTTCGACATCTGACAAGGGCGGAATTTTGAACTGGAAATTATTTACAATTGACTTTACTTGCCTATAAATGACAAACAGCTCACTGACAAACCTCGAGAATGTTTTAAATCCAAGTAACATTGTTCGGCCGAGATTGAGAGTGCGGTGATACTGTCGAAACACCATAATCGTCAGAAGGTGACGACGATACGACGTCAACAATTGAGTTCTGATGTCTCCTTCCTTCACCTGATCACTTACTGGAACAGTGAATTCTGCAAAGGTTTAGAAACTCTCAATGTGGATACCGCGGCTAAGTGAACCAAAGAGTAAACGGTGGAACAGAGTTGTAGCAGCAAAGTAGAACATCTCGAAAGAACAACAGATTTTCTTTTGGATCATTCAAAAACATCGTGTTATGTGGTCGAACAAAAGGCTAAGCAATGGTCACGTTATGTAATGATTAATACGTAGAAATATTCAGGACGTTTAGGGTACAGTCTTCGATTACAACGAAACATAACGGACTTAGGGTTAACCTCTTCTCCTGCTTTAACGTACAAACGACTAAAAACAATCACCGACGTTAATGGACTACGTGATACACTATCGGGAGTGGTCGGCCCGAGGAATATTTACAACAGTCGAAGAAATTTCCCGCGGGAAATTTTCTAGACGGCGAATAAATAGGAGTGTGTGAATGCAGAAATGTGATCAAAAAGACGTCAACGCTTAAATAAGTTGTTCAATGAGTTGACGGCAGATGCCTGAAAGGTACAGCGAACTGCAACCAGCATAATAGCATAGATGATTTGAAGGCGATTTCTTCGAGACGTAAAGCTAAAAGCACTTAGCGTTGATCAATCTCTTAGTGATGGGCCATGCATTCGACCTCATTAATTACCGTTGAAGGTGACCGAATGCATATGTCCTTTACAATGACTTGCGGTGGCCTACCGATGTATAGAGCTATCCTTCCAAACAAGCCTGTCACCAATTTGCCGACCCCGGAGGGATGTACGGGGATCGATCCCATATGTATTGCAGGGCGCCTCCGACCACTGCGCTAGACAGGCCCACTTCGAGATGTACTACTAGTTTATTGGTTCAGTGAAATAGTAGGAGTTCATATCACGACATCACGAACATCGATATGGAATACTAAATGTACACGGTGCCAAGATGACGAGAAAAGAAATCATATGTTTTCAAAAACTACACGAAAAGCTACGGCAATCAAACTGTATCACAGTAGACGATAAAAATTGCCTCACGAAAAATCGATTTGTCCGCAATCACACACTCTTCCTTCCCGTCACGTGCTAATTCATAATACTATTAGTATAACCCTGCTGATAAAATTAAAAGGGCGAGGATCAGTGGGTGTACGACAGGGAAAGGAGGTATAGTATTGTTTGGTCACAAAGATGTACTCAGGACTCAGCCATGATGGAAGGCTAAGAGTTCGTGATTGACGAGGGTGTATTTCTTTGTTAGGTGGCAGCGAGATACGTCGTTTTCTTTCTCAGCTGTCGCGAGGTTGTTATACACTATACGTTCACTTTCATATAAAAACACACATACAACATAACAGTAGCTGACGTTTCGGCAGTATCGCCTTCTTCAGAGTCTGGAAGGGTACATTGATACGCATTTATAATCCAATGCCAAGGCTAATAGTCGATCCTGCGAACTGTTACAAGCAGCAAGATACTTCCGACATGTAAAGAAAGTGCTGTCACTAAGAGCATGCTGGTGGCTTTTCGACACGTGTCTATCGTGATCGTCCTATTTCCATGCAAGGGTGAGAGGAGAGGTAATGAAACAGCATGTTTTTTTTACTTGGATTTGGGTACTATTTTGTGATTTAGTCGTTTGCGGAAGGGCTTTATTTTTCTTTTATTGAGTTTGTTCTTAATTTTAACGTTCAAAAATGGAAACAAGTTTCCTGTCGATTTATCTTAGGAAAATTTCATGTATTATTCTCACTGTTCATTCTATAACTCAAGACATTTCTGAAACAAATGCCAAAACGGCAATCCACATATCTACAGTAAAGCCCGGAAATCGATTACCGGAGCTTCCACCTAAGACGTAAAGACAACAGCAAAGCTTGGTCTCAGTTGCTGCCCGTGGGATCACACTGGAGCGACCACGGTCTTTGATGAACTAGTTGACGACACCTCACACCAGTTAACTGTATTCATTTATAGAGAGAAATTTTTATAATGCTGGAAACAGGCGATCACCATGAGCGACGATTACGAAATAAAGATTCGAATAGAGAACCTGCTCTCGACTTCATGACCCTCAGATGCTTGAGAAGGACATATTCTAAGAATCCATGTACACAACGCATCCTCAGCTGCTGTATACAATATCACATGAATGACAATGATCCATGCTTACTTGACGAATAGCAAGAAGTATCCGCAAGGCGGAATAATTACGTCTGAATTTTATCATTTGAGGTTGCAACAGGAAGAGTGGCTACAACTTCAATGGAATTGTCTTGCTTTTTTGCATACAGCTCAAATATTCGTAGAATTAACAGCGTCCTATGAAAGGGTCAGAGAAACTTCTTGAAGTGGTTCATTGCTTCCTAGTAGCAATCTCTTCAAAATATCGACGTTCTGCATATATGATGGACAACTTCTTAAATGAAGGATAGCAAACCACAATAATTCTCGCTAAAAAATGATTCATATTGTTAGATAGTAATGCCTTGCAAATGAACGACATCTTAAAAGTTGCACATTCCACTCATTCCATGCGCTACACTGTTTTTGGCGTTTACAAAGCAAGTTCAGCAGGCAACAAATTGGCAGATGATCTAATTACTTTGCACATCAGGTTAGCGATATGAAGACTGAGAATCTGAAAGTCACCAAGAGATGTCTGTCTCCAAAAACACTCGAGCTGATATGCCAGCGTAGAGTCGCACAAGCAACAAGCGACTGCCAACTCACGCCCGAACTTGCAGAACAGTGGCAAAGAGGTGATAAGTAAATCTTAAAGAGAGAATAGCAGTAGTTATGGTCGAATCTGCAGAGGCTGGAAGAAGCATTCGCAAAGCCTACCGAAGCATCGCCAATTACAAGATCAAGATGATTGAACTCCGACGCCCAGGCGGAACAGTTACAGCGTTCAGAAAGCAATCAAGAAAATCATTCACGAATACTACTCAAATTTTTCAATGGCCACGTCCTCCTTCCATCATATGAAATAAAGGAGGGTAAATATGTTGTGCCACCGGTTCTCCCTTCCAAAATTCGATATGCCATTTCGTCGGTGAAAGATCGAACAGCACCAGGTCTGCAGAGGACAAGATCAGAACACCTGAAGAACCTTCTGCCAGTCCTCGCAAACACACCGGCTCGGATCTTCTCACGTTACCTATCTGAAAAGCAAGGCCCCTACTCAGTGGAAGACCAACAAGACCGTGTTAATATTCAAAAAGGATGACCTACACGATATCGGCAACCATCGCCAAATCTGCTTGTTGTCTGTCGTCTGCAAACTTTCCACTCGAGTCATCCTAAACAGGGTTGACATAACACTAGACGGAGGACAGCTATGTGAGCAAGTAGGGTTTTTTTGAAAAGGATTTAGTACGATGGACCACGTCCACACGATAACAAGACTTTGAAGTGTTGCGAGATTAACAGAGACTGCTTTGTCTTACCTTCATAGATTTATAGAAAGCTTTTGACTTAGTTGAGATAGAAGCAGTCATGGAAGCCCTGGACAGCCAGGGAGTCCTTCCTCAGTATATAAAGATTCTTTGTGGGCTATGTGAAGATTTCACAACGAAGATATCACAATTCAGGTATGAGTTCAGGTACGATATACCTGATCTCGTGTAACAATTGCGGAGATGAATATATTGGCGAAACGGGCAGACCTTTGTGTATCCGTATAAAAGAACACCTAGATGGCAAACGAAAACTAAGACGAAGCACCACACTAGGCACGCATAGGATACAAAAGCATAGCGGAGACGATTTTGAAGTAAAAGTCAATATCCTTGCACAGGAGTCCAAAACACCAGCGCGAAAACTCCTAGAGGCTTTTTGGATCAATGCCAAAAACCCTACAATGAATAGCAGGGACGAATGCCCGGAGGTCATACGCGACCTGATCCCGTACGTTCGCATCGATTTTCGATGTGGGATGGTGCAGTCGTCAACCACATGCGACTATAATCAGCTGTTCTAAACTTCCTCATTGGAAGTCACGAAAAAGCGGTGGGTTTTTCGAGAAGTTGTTGATTATGTAATTGCCGGAGAGTTCTTCGTCTTCTTGTAAGTGTTATTGAAGCGTTTGGCCTAGTAGATTGTATANGCATAGCGGAGACGATTTTGAAGTAAAAGTCAATATCCTTGCACAGGAGTCCAAAACACCAGCGCGAAAACTCCTAGAGGCTTTTTGGATCAATGCCAAAAACCCTACAATGAATAGCAGGGACGAATGCCCGGAGGTCATACGCGACCTGATCCCGTACGTTCGCATCGATTTTCGATGTGGGATGGTGCAGTCGTCAACCACATGCGACTATAATCAGCTGTTCTAAACTTCCTCATTGGAAGTCACGAAAAAGCGGTGGGTTTTTCGAGAAGTTGTTGATTATGTAATTGCCGGAGAGTTCTTCGTCTTCTTGTAAGTGTTATTGAAGCGTTTGGCCTAGTAGATTGTATAACAGTATACCCTTCCAGGCTCTGAAGAAGGCGATACTGCCGAAGCGTCAGCTAGCGTTGTATTGTATTGTGTTTTTATGGAAGTAAATGTATGCTGTTTAAAAACCTCGCGATTGCTGAACAAGAAAACGACACATTAACATTGATGTCAAAAGAGGGGTTAGGCAAGGCGACACTATGTCGCCAAAATTATTTACCGCCACCCTCGAGAACGTCAGCGTCATTGTAATAGGACAGCATAGGGATTAAAATCGATGGCCAGCAATTAAACCGTCTTCGCTTTGCTCACGACATCGTTCTCATAACACCAAGCATTAGCCAGGCGGAGCGAATGCTTGCCGACTTTGATTACGATTAGAAAGCAATGGGGCTAGTTCAACAAACTCCACAACGCTCTGCTCCAATTCACAAGGAGCGCCTTAGTCGGATTGTTTCTAAAATTGCAAGGAGATATAATTTTAAGGATGGTGAGATATTTGCAAAACTCCGGACCGCAGGTGTATGCAGTGGGGAACGAACGCGCTATTGTCCTTTCCAGGGAGTAACGCGTTCACCATCGCACCATGCAGGTCCTTCGTTTCATCTGTCTCTCAACTAGTTCTATGGATCTTTGCCACAGCAATCATCCGTCAGCGAGATTGATCTGAGGGACAGGAGAAACGAAGGACCCGCGTGGTGTGGTGGTGGAACGCGTTACTCCCTGAAAAGGGCAATAGCGCGTTCGTTCCCCACTGCATACACCTGCGGTCCGGAGTTTTGCAAATATCTCAACATCATTGAAGTTGTATTTCGCAATATACTCTACCATTCAAAAAAAAAGTAGACAGTAAATAATAAGTTAAAATTGCAAGGAGAATTAACTCGATCGCCATTCTACAACACATATAAAGAAGACAGAACCCCAAGCATCAGCTGAAACAACAATCGAAATGTTCGAAGAACGTTGTGAACAATGAATGCGAGGGAAACGAATCGAACGCGAGAAATGTTGTTGCCGCGCAACAGATGTGGTGACAGGTCATGTAAAGAAAAAAAATGGGTTCTCCTTTGCAGTCTAGGATAGCTTTACTAGGCTGTTCCCGGCTCCTCACCACAGGCATCCACAAACGCTTGGGGATTGCAAGAAGGTCTGCGCAAACAAGTCTGGCAGCAATTTCCCTGCT